ATTTTTACATTTTTTACAGTGAAAAAGTGTGCCTTGGCTTAAAAAAGGTTGAAAAACACTGATCTAGACTATTGGTTGTCCTACCTTTCAGTCATTGTGGTGAAGTGGCGTAAGGCAGTCGAATGGATCTCGAAGCGGAGAGAGGAGCGGCCATGATGAGGTAACGGTCTACAATACATTTTAATGAGGACATAAATTTGGGGGACCGACCCCCCCCTCCAAAATGTCATATCAGAGGTCTCTATCATGTGTTTTCAAATAGTAATGGAGTAATGGAGAATGTTTGGAGTAATAATCTAAAAAAATTAATAACAAATATTTTGGAGCGGACCAATAAAATAAACCAATGGGATATGTTCTTCCCCAACGAACCAATGGGATGCATTTACCCCCTTCACCCGCTTCCTCTTACTGTACTTGCGATTGCGCACACCGGAGTTATTGGATTATCTAAAACCTAAAAGGGCTGAACAGAAAAGGCCAATTTCACTCTCACTTTGCCACTCACTCTCCCTGCTGTGACACTGATAAGAAAATGCTGGATGTTTGGTTTGGTGGAGAAGCGAGGGGAGGGGGGGAGTGGTTTCGAGTTGTTGCTTCGGCTAAGCTAACAAACTCACTCACTGCACCTTAAATGGCTTAAAGGTATTCAATTAGAAGTATAAGTACTAATAAATAAAGTATATATCCTTTTTGATATCAACAGTAAATGTAAATACATATACATCATTCCCGGTCTTTCACATGAGGCTCTTAGTGTGGGATTTACAAAACATATACTCAATTAAACCAGATCTATCAGTCTGTTTCCTCACTGTAGCTTTAATGTTTAACCCCCGGGGTTTGTTTTTTCCCTAAATTGACTGAAAAGCACATAATCTTTCAAGAGTCCGAAGTCAATGAGAGGGGTGCTGAGGCCTGACAAAATTACTTCTGTCTTACCATCATTTCATTTACTCCATCTGATGTGACCTGAATGGCCGTTTTTTATTATTATTATTAGTAGCTTTTTAGAATAATCAATTCATTTGTTTTGTTTGTGTGCATGGATGTGTTTTTGCTGCAACTGGACACCTGAAATTCTCCTAGGGGGATCAATAAAGTATCTAACTAAGTAACAAGATCCATGGTCTAAAGTGCCATTTTCCTTTAAAAAGGTTGAAAAAAATTAGAACGCTTTTTTTTCAAAATCTTTGAAACAAATGGGAATTTTGGAAGAGGACGATAATTCAACAACATTGAAGGCTCAAGTCCAGGTTTCTTAAAGGTACCCAGCGTACTGTAGTTTGAGATCATATATTGCAAGTCTACTTGTACCACCAACACTACAGAAGCCTCTGGGGACAATTTGTGGTCTTTGACAGTGGTCCCCAACCCCTGGTCTTTCCCCCGGAGCTCCACGAAAGAATCCTTAAGTTTGATAAATGACCGGATCTCTCAAAACGCTACCGGGCCACAAATGTGCCTTCACGCACGTTCGTGGCAGCGAACATATAAACAAAGTCCGGATTGAGAAGTGGCCCGTGCTGCACATAGGTGTTTAGCCATGGATCTATCCATCCATACATTTCTTCCGCTTCATCCGTTGCCAGGTCGCGGGGGCAGCAGTCTAAGCAGAGATGCCCAGACTTCCCTATCCACACACACTTCCTCCAGCTCGTCCGACCCCAAGGCGTTCCCAGGCCAGCTGAGAGACATACCTCCAGCGTGTCCTGGGTCTTCCCCGGGGCCTCCTCCCGGTGGGACGTGCCCGGAACACCTCCCCAGGGAGGCGTCCAGAAGAACAGATGCCCGAGCCACCTCAACTGGTTCCTCTCGACGTGGAGAAGCAGCGGCTCTACTCCGAGCTCCTCCCGTGTGACTGAGCTCCTCACCCTATCTCTAAGGGAGCAGCCACTCTGCTCTTACTGTTGTCTCCCATCACTGACATTACCCTTACTCATGAGTATTGAATACTCAGAGCATGTGGCTGTTTAACTCTAGTTACTGTGACTCTGTGAGGGATGTGAGTCAGGATTAAATGTGCCGCTTGTTGTGAAAAGGGTCGAGGGAAGATGTGGGGTTTAGGGGGAGGGAGGGAAGAATTCACTCTGAACTTAGTCTTAGTTCTGGGGGACCATAAGGAGCTCTATTAGGTCTGTAGACGACTGTCTTTTGTCAATTGTGTCTCCACCTCTTCTTAGGGTAATGTAGAGCGTGGTCCTCCTGAAGGTCCTGGATCTGCTGCTTGGAGGGTTTCTATTGCTGATACTTCGTGGCCAGAGTCAGTTTGTTTTCCACCCTGCATTTGAAGTTCTTTTCCTCCATTTCTGCGATAACAGAGGTTTTCAGGGAAAAGTTCCTTCTGAACTCCTCCATCTCTTTCTGAGACCTGAGCATTTTTTCCTCCAGCTCATAATTACCTTTCCTCTGATCCATCTCCCAGTCCTGCATCCTGGTCTCCAGCTTTAGAAGACAAAAGTTAATTTCTTCTAATGTGTTCATGTTTTCTTTTTGAACTTTTGAGAGCTGTTTTCAAACCTCTTTTGATTGAGTCCTTCTGTCGCATCTCCTCGTCAGAACGCTTCTCCAAAGCCATCAGAGTCAGTTGCACGGACTGCAGGGCTGTTGGACAAGGTCTAGTTCTCCTTCCAAGTCTGTTGTAGGGACTGCAGTGATGTGGACAAGACGTGGATCTCCCCCTTCAGAGTTGTGGTGAAGTTGATGACCTCCTGCTTCAGGTCCACAGACCTGGAATAATCCTCTCTCAGGGCCAGCACCTCGTCCTTTGCCATCTGCAGCTCTGCGGTGGTTTCTTGCAAAGAAAGTTGAAGGCTGGAGAGTGGTGTTGGGTTGGTGCTGGATTAAAGCGGTGGAGTCAAGAAAGTCCTTCTCCAGATTTCTCCGTCTGCAGTTGTATGACCTGCTCCTTCAGTCTTTGTGTTTCTTCCTCTTGAGCCTTGACCAGGTCGCTCCTCTCCTCCTTCTGTTGCCGTGGAAGATTCCGTCTTAGGTTCCAGAAAAGGAGTCTCATAGAAAATAATTAAATAAATCTTTTGAAACAAATTGATGTAATTTCTGTCTCTTACTTACAAACACACAATACTTTTGTGTGTTTGTGTGCGCATGTATGTGCTCTCTGGGGTCCTCAGCTACATGTACAACCTGAGCCTCAGCCTGGAGAAGGTCCCTGTCCTGTGGAAGACCTCCTGTGTGATCCCGGTTCCTAAAACAGCACACGCCAAGGAACCGGCTCACTACAGACCAGTCCCACTGACCTCCCACCTGATGAAGTCCAGTCCCACTGACCTCCTGATCAAGACCATGGAGCACTGACCTTCCACCTGATGAAGACCATGGAGCACTGACCTCCTCCTGATGAAGACCATGGAGCACTGACCTCCCACCTGATGAAGACCATGGAGCACTGACCTCCTCCTGATGAAGACCATGGAGCACTGACCTCCCCCTGATGAAGACCATGGAGCACTGACCTCCTCCTGATGAAGACCATGGAGCACTGACCTCCTCCTGATGAAGACCATGGAGCACTGACCTCCCCCTGATGAAGACCATGGAGCACTGACCTCCCACCTGATGAAGACCATGGAGCACTGACCTCCTCCTGATGAAGACCATGGAGCACTGACCTCCCCCTGATGAAGACCATGGAGCACTGACCTCCCACCTGATGAAGACCATGGAGCACTGACCTCCTCCTGATGAAGACCATGGAGCACTGACTTCTCACCTGATGAAGACCATGGAGCACTGACCTCCTCCTGATGAAGACCATGGAGCACTGACTTCTCACCTGATGAAGACCATGGAGCACTGACCTCCCACCTGATGAAGACCATGGAGCACTGACCTCCTCCTGATGAAGACCATGGAGCACTGACCTCCCCCTGATGAAGACCATGGAGCACTGACCTCCCACCTGATGAAGACCATGGAGCACTGACCTCCTCCTGATGAAGACCATGGAGCACTGACCTCCCCCTGATGAAGACCATGGAGCACTGACCTCCTCCTGATGAAGACCATGGAGCACTGACCTCCTCCTGATGAAGACCATGGAGCACTGACCTCCCCCTGATGAAGACCATGGAGCACTGACCTCCCACCTGATGAAGACCATGGAGCACTGACCTCCTCCTGATGAAGACCATGGAGCACTGACTTCTCACCTGATGAAGACCATGGAGCACTGACCTCCTCCTGATGAAGACCATGGAGCACTGACTTCTCACCTGATGAAGACCATGGAGCACTGACCTCCCACCTGATGAAGACCATGGAGCACTGACCTCCTCCTGATGAAGACCATGGAGCACTGACTTCTCACCTGATGAAGACCATGGAGCACTGACCTCCCACCTGATGAAGACCATGGAGCACTGACCTCCCACCTGATGAAGACCATGGAGCACTGACTTCTCACTTGATGAAGACCATGGAGCGGCTCATCCTCACCCATCTCCGCTCCGTGGTAAGAATCCGTGTGTCATCCGTTCTTTTGATCTTCTAAATAAAACCAACATATAAAAAACAAAAAACTAGGGATGTTTTTGATTCTCGATCTTTGAATGTAATGCAAGATTGAAATACTGGTTTTTATTTTTATTTTCTGTGGATCCAATTAAAACGGAAACGCTGTAAACCAATAAAGACCGTCTTAATTACTTTTTGTGATTTTCATTTGAAACACAAGAGTCCAAAGGGGGTCCAACCCGGTACTAGCATGGTGTACTTTATAAAGTGGCCGGTGAGTTATTGAGCTATTGAGCCGGTGAGCTATTTATATGAGCGATCCAGCTGCTAGGATTTAGACAGTACAACCGTAACTGCAGGGTACTAGATGCTGCAGGGAAGGCCTACATGCAACGCCTCAACCAAGGCTGCACAGTATACAGAAACATCTGTGTATTGATAGGTGGTGGAGAATGAGCGTGCTAAGATCCTGTAAGTTAAGTAAGTTTAGTAAGATCCTGTGGGACTTCCACATACAGACCAACTGAATGGTAATGAACCAACCTGACATCGTGGTGGTGGACAAAGGACAGAGGACAGCCGTGGTGGTGGACAAAGGGCAGAGGACAGCCGTGGTGGTGGACAAAGGGCAGAGGACAGCCGTGGTGGTGGACAAAGGGCAGAGGACAGCCGTGGTGGTGGACAAAGGGCAGAGGACAGCCGTGGTGGTGGACAAAGGGCAGAGGACAGCCGTGGTGGTGGACAAAGGGCAGAGGACAGCCGTGGTGGTGGACAAAGGGCAGAGGACAGCCGTGGTGGTGGACAAAGGGCAGAGGACAGCCGTGGTGGTGGACAAAGGGCAGAGGACAGCCGTGGTGGTGGACAAAGGGCAGAGGACAGCCGTGGTGGTGGACAAAGGGCAGAGGACAGCCGTGGTGGTGGACAGAGGGCAGAGGACAGCCGTGGTGGTGGACAAAGGGCAGAGGACAGCCGTGGTGGTGGACAAAGGGCAGAGGACAGCCGTGGTGGTGGACAAAGGGCAGAGGACAGCCGTGGTGGTAGACAAAGGGCAGAGGACAGCCGTGGTGGTGGACAAAGGACAGAGGACAGCCGTGGTGGTGGACGTGGCAATTCCAAGCGATGGTAACATCCGGAAAAAGGAACATGAAAAGCTTGAGAAATACCAAGGTCTCAGAGAGGAGCTGGAGAGGGCCTGGAGGGTAAAGGTCACAGTAGTGAGAGGGCCTGGAGGGTAAAGGTCACAGTAGTGAGAGGGCCTGGAGGGTAAAGGTCACAGTAGTGAGAGGGCCTGGAGGGTAAAGGTCACAGTAGTGAGAGGGCCTGGAGGGTAAAGGTCACAGTAGTGCCCGTGGTGATGGTGCACTCGGGGCAATGACCCCGAAGCTAGAAGAGGTTACAGCGGATCCCTGGAACAACCTCGGACATCTGGGTCCAGAAATGTGCAGTGCTAGGAACAGCAAAGATACTGCGCAGAACCCTCAAGCTCCCTGGCCTCTGGTAGAGGACCCGAGCTTAGAGAGGGATAACCGCCCACGAAGGGTAAAAGGTGTGTGTTTTTATAAATATACCCATACATACACACATACATACGTACAGTACATGCACATACACACATACATACGTACAGTACATGCACATACACACATACATACGTACAGTACATGCACATACACACATACATACGTACAGTACATGCACATACACACATGCATACATGCCTATAAATTCTGGAAACAAAAGGTGGATTGTAATTGTTATAATTATTTTTATTAGACCATATTACGTGCGCATATTACATAGTGTCCCTTTTTAAACAAATACATAAATCCAAATTGTGATGTAATGAAGTGGATAGATGTCCCAGCATGAGCATGGCTGTATGTGGCCCTCCCTCTGGCCGCACTCTGGAGCTGGGAGGTGTTTCCCTCCCTCTGCTGTTCCCAGGGCAGAGCCAACTGCCCCAGGCCTTTGGTGGGACAACCTGCCCCCATTTGGGACCTACTGATTGGTCCACACACACACTGGGCTGCTACTTCAGATCACCTTTTGTATTTTACTTCCATGTATACTAAACTAATTCTAAATCTGCAGTCAAGTCAAAGATGGGATTGTTGGGAGTTATACGCCTTTCTATAGCGTTGGTATCTTTGACACAGGTAAAAGCGTGTATATTATATATTCATGTTTAATTGATGTAGTAGTAAAACACTGATTGGGTTTTGTTTGTGTTTCATAGATACCTTTCAGCAAAGCAGGTAAGAAATGTACCTTTGGAAAAAGGCTTACAGTCAGTCTGGTAGTATCTGCTTGTAACCTACATCTCTCTTGCAGACTGTCCCATCACATCCGCCGTGTCAGTCGGGCCTTCATCTATTTTGGTCAAATGGGTTTCCTACTCGGCCACAGCAAACTACATCTTGGATCTACGGATCACAGATGACAAAAACACTGCCCCGGTTATAGTAGTAGCTTACGCTCCTCAAGTAGAAAAGAGGGTGCACGGGCTTCAGCCGGGGAAGAATTACACTGTGACACTCAAAGTGCTTGAGTTTATGACAGTGAGTTGTACCTCTAAGATCGCCTCTTCTACAGGTGAGTGACAGAAGTCCCCTAAATCCATCTGGATACAGGATTGATTAGACATGTGGGAGATTGGTTTTAAGTGTAAACTAGGGTGAACAGGTCAATCTGCCAAACCAGGGCCGTTGGAGTCCTCCTATTTTGATAGTCCAGAACTCAGCACACTGTAAACCCGGATAAGTTCAATACACTTAAATCGTTTGAGGAAACCGATTCCCTTCAAATGGTTTGAGTAACTGACCCAAAACTAAAAAATAATTGATTAAGTAGAGTAAACTTAAAAAGTAAAACAAAACACAAATTACTATATGGAGTCATAGCCAGTTAATGTTATTAAGTTTTCCAATTTAAGAACTAATATGTTTATGTTCAGTTAACTTAACTTGTTAGGGGAATTACTAAAAGAAAACTTTTTTGTTTTAGTAGTGTCAATATTAGAAAACTCAAATGTTTGCTTAGTACTACTTTAAAGCTCATATATTTAATTAAAACTAACTTAAAATGTTAAGGCAAACACACTCAATACCTCAATATCAAAGGACATGCTAATGACCAGAAAAGGCAGTTTTTTAAAAAGCAATTTTATTCAAAATGGCTTTGTCCCAGAATTTGTTCAGGCACTTATGGTTCTCCAAGTGATGTGCGTAAGTCAGTCCAAACAGGAGACACTTTTCCCAAAGGAAGACTGCAGAATCCAGAAGGATGCCAACTTGCTCTGGACTTGGAATTTTCACCATTGATTATGATTTCTATGGGGATGTGGGTCACCATCGGCAGCATTCTGCAAAGGGGAAACGAGAAGAAACAGTGAGTAACCCGTTTGTGGAGAAGTACTGGTCCTTCCAATTGTCAATCATTCTTGTCATTTGTGCTCGTCAAATAAGACCAGAGTTTTGTTAAAAAAATGGAGAGGGCGGTTCTTTCCTATAATCTTTCCCAGGAAGCACATTCACATGTGTGAAAACATCCTAATATGTGTTTTGGGTTGTATCTGCTTTTTTTATGTTTTAGAATTTGTAAAACACATCAACCAGTAAAAGAAAAAGTGTAATTTGAATATTCAAACATTACTTACTTTGTGACTTGTGTTGAACTTAAAAGCATTGTCCCCGAGAAGAACAGGAAGTCCTCTGTATGGTCCGAACATCAGCTGATAGTTACATGCTCTGCAAATAGTTAAAACAGATGTTTACCACTTCTAATCATGAGAAGAGACATGTTGTACCAAGATTAAATTATGAGGCCAACTCACCTTTTGCTTTTGAATGTTTGCCTTCATATTCTGTCCTTCTGGTGAAAACCTCTTCAAAGCCAAGGTAGAAACCATCCAGAGAAGTAAATAATTCTCCAATGGACGTTTTTCCAGTAATTATGTTGAATTCCGAGTTGACCTTTGAACAAGCCCCAATTATTACTTTCAAAAATATAACACAAGATTTGCAATAAACAAACAAACCTGGCATTCAGTCACCCCTGAACAATCCGGCTTGACCACTTCAGCTCTGAAAGAAAGGAAAGAACATTTTAAAATAATTTGTGTTACTTTGAGCAACTATAACCCAAACCCCACAACAGGTCTGTGTAACCTTATCTTTACAGTAAATAAATCTTTACAGCCATGACACTAAGGGTGTATTCAGACCTGAAAAGTCCTTTGCTCCGCTTGCTTGATCCGAATCAAAAGTGGACCAAACTTTTTTCTTTTGCTCCGGTTCGTATTCAGACTGTCCTTTTTGCAAGTGAACTTTTTTATATAAACATATTGACACGTGTGACGATCGGCTCCTATTGGACAGAGCTCACGGAGGATAGACGCGGAACCAGAGGAAAACATTGCGGGCTCGTATGTGCAGCATGTCTGCTCTGCCTATGTTTGCTCTTTTTAGAGCAAAACCACCTTCAACATCAACAGCAGCTCATATGACACAGGCCAAACACGTTGTTTTATATTGGAACAGCGTCGGAGAATGCGTGAGGAGAAAGCCGAAGGAGGCTGTCTGCGCTCCGTGCCCCGTCACACACATGGATCTATGATAATAACTCTGTCCCACACATGGATCTATGATAATAACTCTGTCCCACACATGGATCTATGATAATAACTCTGTCCCACACATGGATCTATGATAATAACTCTGTCCCACACATGGATCTATGATAATAACTCTGTCCCACACATGGATCTATGATAATAACTCTGTCCCACACATGGATCTATGATAATAACTCTGTCCCACACATGGATCTATGATAATAACTCTGTCCCACACATGGATCTATGATAATAACTCTGTCCCACACATGGATCTATGATAATAACTCTGTCCCACACATGAATCTATGATATTAACGGCCCTGTTCAGCATTGTGGATAAACCATGGATCTATAATAACCACGGGACAAACAGACGCTGAGGATCATGTAGGAACCAAAGAACACAGATCACTACATGATGCAGAATATTGTTCTTTGAGACGTGAGTCAAACAGTGTCAGGTTTTTAATAATGCAAATGGTTTGAAGATGCTGCCATTAACATCACTGTAAACTGTGAACAGTTGTAACTCCATAAGTCTGTTGCACAGCGTCTCCTCACTGCTCCAGGTCTGCACACGGCTCAGTGTTGTGTAGCGTTAGCAGCATAGTTAGCATCATAGTTAGCAGCACAGTTAGCAGCATAGTTAGCAGCATAGTTAGCAGCATAGTTAGCAGCATAGTTAGCAGCATAGTTAGCATCATAGTTAGCATCATAGTTAGCATCATAGTTAGCAGCATAGTTAGCAGCATAGTTAGCATCATAGTTAGCAGCATAGTTAGCAGCATAGTTAGCAGCATAGTTAGCAGCATAGTTAGCAGCATAGTTAGCAGCATAGTTAGCATCATAGTTAGCAGCATAGTTAGCATCATAGTTAGCAGCATAGTTAGCAGCATAGTTAGCAGCATAGTTAGCATCATAGTTAGCAGCATAGTTAGCAGCATAGTTAGCATCATAGTTAGCAGCATAGTTAGCATCATAGTTAGCATCATAGTTAGCATCATAGTTAGCATCATAGTTAGCAGCATAGTTAGCATCATAGTTAGCATCATAGTTAGCAGCATAGTTAGCATCATAGTTAGCATCATAGTTAGCATCATAGTTAGCAGCATAGTTAGCAGCATAGTTAGCATCATAGTTAGCAGCATAGTTAGCAGCATAGTTAGCAGCATAGTTAGCATCATAGTTAGCATCATAGTTAGCAGCATAGTTAGCATCATAGTTAGCAGCATAGTTAGCATCATAGTTAGCAGCATAGTTAGCAGCATAGTTAGCATCATAGTTAGCAGCATAGTTAGCATCATAGTTAGCATCATAGTTAGCATCATAGTTAGCATCATAGTTAGCATCATAGTTAGCATCATAGTTAGCAGCATAGTTAGCATCATAGTTAGCATCATAGTTAGCAGCATAGTTAGCAGCATAGTTAGCAGCATAGTTAGCATCATAGTTAGCAGCATAGTTAGCAGCATAGTTAGCATCATAGTTAGCATCATAGTTAGCAGCATAGTTAGCAGCATAGTTAGCATCATAGTTAGCATCATAGTTAGCAGCATAGTTAGCATCATAGTTAGCATCATAGTTAGCATCATAGTTAGCATCATAGTTAGCATCATAGTTAGCATCATAGTTACCCGCTGCGTGGCTAATTCCTCAGTTTCTGTCTGCGGCTTGCTAAACCCAAAAAATGCGCACGTATCTTGGAGTTGTGTCGGATCGACACCGGATGTATTCAGACCTGATTCGACTTGGACCAGAATTCGTTTGGAAGCGGACCGAGACCACCTAAAAAAGTGGGTCTCGGTTCGGTTCTTTGGTCCGGACCAGGATTCGTGTGTGTGTATTCAAACCTGCATAAAAGCTTCGGATCAGAGTTCCAAACGAATCCTGGTTCGTTTAAAGTGGAGCAAATGTGCAGGTCTGAATACACCCTAACAGTGAAAGTGCGCGCACTGAACTAACCGCCCTCTTTAGTTCAAAGTAAAGACTTGATTCTCTGGTTTGCAGCAGTAGCACCAGAGTTAGCTTAGCTTAGCTTAGCTTACATTTCAAACCTCCAGCGGCTCAGCAACATGAGCGACCAGCTCTGTGCTTTTCCCATGGACGCTGGAGCAGACTCTCCACGTGGCTCCTGCTGGTCCCCTCTCTGCTCCTGCTGGTCCCCTCTCTGCTCCTGCTGGTCCCCTCTCTGCTCCTGCTGGTCCCCTCTCTGCTCCTGCTGGTCCCCTCTCTGCTCCTGCTGGTCCCCTCTGCTCCTGCTGGTCCCCTCTCTGCTCCTGCTGGTCCCCTCTCTGCTCCTGCTGGTCCCCTCTCTGCTCCTGCTGGTCCCCTCTGCTCCTGCTGGTCCCCTCTCTGCTCCTGCTGGTCCCCACTGCTCCTGCTGGTCCCCTCTGCTCCTGCTGGTCCCCTCTCTGCTCCTGCTGGTCCCCTCTCTGCTCCTGCTGGTCCCCTCTCTGCTCCTGCTGGTCCCCACTGCTCCTGCTGGTCCCCACTGCTCCTGCTGGTCCCCTCTCTGCTCCTGCTGGTCCCCTCTCTGCTCCTGCTGGTCCCCTCTCTGCTCCTGCTGGTCCCCACTGCTCCTGCTGGTCCCCACTGCTCCTGCTGGTCCCCTCTCTGCTCCTGCTGGTCCCCTCTCTGCTCCTGCTGGTCCCCTCTCTGCTCCTGCTGGTCCCCACTGCTCCTGCTGGTCCCCACTGCTCCTGCTGGTCCCCTCTCTGCTCCTGCTGGTCCCCTCTCTGCTCCTGCTGGTCCCCACTGCTCCTGCTGGTCCCCTCTCTGCTCCTGCTGGTCCCCTCTCTGCTCCTGCTGGTCCCCTCTCTGCTCCTGCTGGTCCCCTCTCTGCTCCTGCTGGTCCCCTCTCTGCTCCTGCTGGTCCCCTCTCTGCTCCTGCTGGTCCCCTCTCTGCTCCAGCGTCCGTGGGAAAAGAACGGGAGCAGATAGCTAACGTCGCTATGTCACTGGAGTCCGGTGTAACACGTGTGCAAGCTTCAGTGACAGAGACTGGCTCCGTGTACCGTATATAATAAAAAGTGCAAAAAAATAACCTTGTCTAAAAATGGAGAAAAACAATAGACTCAAAACAATGTTCAGGAGATTACATTAGCTTGCGCAGCTGCATAATGTAAAATACATTGAAAAAAAATAACTTTATACAAAGATTTAACTCACCTTTGACTTGAGGAAGAGTGCGCTCCATCGACTACAGACTGGAAAAACACGTTCAAGTCCGAGGAAAACATGAATAAACTGCTTATTCTTGAAACATTCAAACAAACGACTCTGTCCAGACATGTCCCTGGTTCCAGTGCAGCCGGGACAAATATGGGAGGATCTCTGAAAACTTAAAGATAGTGAAAGTGCTTTCAACTTAAAGGTAGTGATGAGTAGTGATCTCATTTACTTGTTTATTTGAGTGTTGACCTCAAAACTCATTCTCTTACACACATTTGTATCAATCAATCAATCAATCAATCAAATTTTATTTATGAAGCGCTTTTCATACAAAAGATGCAACACAAAGTGCTTTACAGTTTGGTTAAAAACAATCCCGCCGGCCCATGTCCCCTCCCCCCGACCACCCAACAGACCCATCCCAAACCACAGACAAACGCACACACGCTCCCATGCACACTCTCTGACACACACACACACACACACACACACACACACACACACACACACACACACACACACACACACACAAGTAAAACAGTAAAACAATGATGAGAGACTTGGCAGGGTTCGGATGCAACCAGTTGAAAAAGCGTCATCCAAGGAGCCGTCTGCACCAGGAGCAGAGAGCCGCCTGTAGCCACAGGGGACGACACAGGATCTAGAGGAGACCCGAAACCGAGGCCCCAGGCCCCCACCGGGTCCAAGAGTCCGACCCCCACAGCCATGCCGACCACTGCTCCCAGTGCAGAGGGCTCCTCCAGAGGAAACACTGGGTACACTAAAAACAATATAATAACAATACAATATGTAAAACACAAAACTGTGAAACTAAAATGAAACTAAAATGAACTAACACACAATACATGAATAAAAGCAATAGCAATACAATAAATAATAGAGGATAAATAGAATATATAAAATGAAATAGTAAAAACTAATCAAAAGCTAATCTAAAAAGGTGCGTCTTGAGCCTGCTTTTAAAAAACTGTACTCAAACTATATTTTAGAATAAACTTAAAAAAGATTGGACCAAGTAAAATGTATTCATTCTAGTGCATCACATGCAACACTATATATGTTAAGTCCTTTCAACTTCAACCAATGAGTTCTCTCTGCCACACTTGTATGATTTGAGTTTTACAGAGAAATTTATTTACCATCAGTGGTTAGAGCTGAAACCATTCGAGTGCAATTAACTTTCGGGTTAACAGTGCAGAATAAATTTATGAATATAACACAATATACTCTAATGCATTTGCTGCTTATATATTAAATATAAATATTTGTCCTAAAAAACAAAGACTTTCTTTACTGAATGAAGCTTCTAATGTCTTTGTGTGTTCCAGTCAAAATGATTGTTTCCACTTTAATATTCACTTAATGATATTATTATGGAAGCTATGGATGAGGAGCACCATCAATCCCTGGACAAGTGTTGGATATCAGACGCCATTATTATTGAAGTCCTGCCGACGAAAGGCTGGGCAAAAACATCTAATTAATCCAATGAATCGACCTTTTTGATAAGCGGAGACGTAATTCTGCTTCTGCTTCTCAGAGGCACTTTTCACCCGTCCTACAGAATGATTGAATATAGGGCAAAAAAGCACAACATTGTTTTATTTAATGTCAGTGTCAATATTTTCATGAGTCAAATCAAAAATGTATTTGACATTTGAATATTGAGTATTTTTCCTTTAACAGTTTTAAGTTTTAACATCATTTTGTAAATTGCTGCGTGATGAAAGTAGTGATGTCATTATTCTGTGTAACCCACGTGCATGAGGTTACGTGCATGAGTTTACGTGCATGAGGTTACGTGCATGAGTTTACGTGCATGAGGTTACGTGCATGAGTTTACGTGCATGAGTTTACGTGCATGAGTTTACGTGCATGAGTTTACGTGCATGAGGTTACGTGCATGAGTTTACGTGCATGAGTTTACGTGCATGAGTTTACGTGCATGAGTTTACGTGCATGAGTTTACGTGCACACAAAGGGCTAAAGACCCTGATCGTTCAGTATTTCCATCACACTGAAGGTTCAAAGTTTTCTCAAATGTATATTCCAAAAATACAATATTTACCACACTAGATCACATGAAAGGACTATTAAAGCTGGGGTACCTGACTTTCAAAAACAGAAAATGGAACTATATGTAATAAAATCCATATACAGTAAGTACTTCTGAAACACTTTGCTTTTATCTTCTATCTATGTATTTCTGGCATGTACTGCCATAAGTTAGGTACCCCAGCTTTAAGTTATTTGTTGTGGGGTAAGAATGAAATTTCACAATTCATTTCTAATAGAGACAAATATAGCTTTTATTAATTTTTGGTTAAAAGAAAAAAACAAAACTATTACGTGAAAATAAATGCCGAAAAAATGCATTTGACAAAAACAGTTCATAATGTGCATTTAGCTGAAATTGCTGATTATGTCCCAGATTTGGACGTCCTCCTGCCAGATTCACACAAACAAAGATTTTCACACATTAGAGTTTTCAGTCATAATTTAGACCCTCCAAAAACCACTGGGTCCTCCTTCCAATCCAAATACACTGGACTTTAGAACTGGGACACCTACCCTTTTGCCTAATTAATAATACCATTTTCTGACTGAAAAAGTGAAGCTAAAAATACATGCATGTGATAGAACCAAATGGATTTAGAGCCAGGAACTAGTTAAGATTACATACAATGTGTACTGTATGATTACCCCGGCTTTAATATTCATATTTCCAATACATTAGTGTTTCATTTGCAATTCAAAGAGAAAACTAACTCTGTCTGAATTTAAATAACATATTTTAGAGAGTAAAAAGTAAAAACAAATACTATTTTTTTTTTCTTTCTATCATTTTTGTTAATTTCAACTTGACCGTGACGATGTGTCAGTATAAGATAAGAATTCCTTTATTCGTCCCACAGTGGGGAAATTTCGATGCACTTCTCACTGTGGCCCTAACCAGTTGGCTTTCTTTCAGTCCCGGACACGGCGCAGTTCACTTCTGGCGTGGTGTTATCCAGCTCTTCCATTTCACTGAAGTGGACCAACGTTGAATCGGCGGACCACTATTACCTGGTGGTCTTCTCCCAGAGCGGGACGAAGCTCAACCTGACCCAGACCACTACCTCTGCTGTGGTCGACGCTCTGAAGCCGTCCACCAACTTCGACTGCTATGTCTACACCGCCAACAGGGCTGGGGTGGGATTCCCCAGCAAAGTGCGCACCCTGACCACACGTGAGTACTTTAATCATTTATGGGGGGTTACCAGAGGGTACGTGGTCTGGGGTGTTCTACTGAGGGCCCTCCGGTGAAGAGGGAGCTGACCCGAAAGGCAAAGCTTTCAATTTATCAGTCAATCTTTGAGTAGTGACTGAAAGGACGAGATTGCAGATACATACAGTGGAAATGAGCTTCCTTCGCAGAGTGGCTGGGCGCTCCCTTAGAGATAGGGTGAGGGGCTCAGTCACACATGAGGAGCTCGGAGTAGAGCCGCTGCTTCTCCACGTCAGGAGGAACCAGTTGAGGTGGCTCGGGCATCTTCCTAATGCCTCCTGGACGCCTCCCTGGGGAGGGGACATCTGGAATGGGACAGCAGCCTGACCACTCAGATCCATACAATTTAAGTCAAAATGAAAGCTCTGCCTTCATATACTGTGTTTGGATGCAATTGATTAGACAGAAAATACGTTTTACTACTAATGTTAAAGAAAACACATGTGCACATATTCGCTCAGCTGTTTCTCAGAGTGAGACAGAGTGAGTTTACTCCTACAATCTATATTTTAACAATTGAAAAACATGAGGTGGCCACCATCTTGGATTTTTTTTACAAAGCAGCGGCTGCATCCAAACTGAGACAGAAGTGACCGTTTTGAGGTGCAGCTCCCTTTTTTATATAAAATGTTATTGAAAATTTGGTCAATAAAAACAAGATGGAAGGAGGGAGGAGAATCTGTTATAATATTGGATAAAGACTTTTTAATGTCAATCTGCAGTTGAGTTTTAATACTAGAATGTTAAAATCCTGTGTAGGTTTACGGTTTATGTAAGGTTAAAAATGTAACATGCATTACAATTAACTACCATATTATACTGACGATAAGCCACACCTGAGCCGCAGGCTCTAATTCTTTTTAAATACATTGAATTTTGTACTTATTGATAAGGTCCATCCTGGTTCTCTTCACATTCATGTCTCTGCAAAGAACCAACCATTTATTTTATGAGATATTTACACAAGTGAGGACTTTTAAACTTGGTAACAAACAAATACATTTTGCAAATACTTTTTTCCTATCAGTGTCTGAAACCTTTAAATAAACTGTACGTTTGTCAAATCCTGAGCTTTTCTTCTCCTATTTTCATGCTGACGAGGGTAAGTACAAATGACTGATTGTCAATCACTCATCAATTCTGCAGGTCTACTGTTACAAAATGCTTTTAGCGCCACAGAAAAAAAAAACATGGAAATGAAACCTCACCTTAGAATAAGATGCAACGTTCGAAGTGCAGCTTATAGTCCAGAATTTACGATAATTAAATAGTTGATGAGTTATGATTAATGGATTAAAAGCCTTAGTTTTGACACTCTTCTGCCCATGCTGTCGCAGTGGTGCAGCCTCCAGACAACATCACGGCGGTGCAGACCGGCCGCAGCGAGGCCAAGGTGAGCTGGGACCCCGTGGACGACGTGCTCATGTACCTGGTGCGCATTCGAGAGGCTGACGACCCGGCAGCCGCTCACAGGAGATACAATGTCACCAACACTCAGATCCACTTGGACCAGATCCAGCCCTGCTCCGAGTATCTCATCCAGATCTCCTCATACAACATGTTCCTGGTGCCCAGCGAGCCCCGCGACTTCCTCTACATGACCAACAGTGAGTCTGCAGCTTTAGAACATGTTCTCATGGTTTGAGAACCGTTAATGCATGTTTGAGTCATTTATCATCTCTCTTGCTCCCTCCTGGCTCCGTGACCATTGCCACTGTTTCACTTACTTTGTTTCTCCTTTTCTTTTTCTGAAAAACAGTCAGTAGTAAAAAAAAATATCAACAGAGGGATTTACATGGAAATGGAAATCCTTGTTTCACCATTTACTCTATTTTCAACTCAAAACAATATTTTACATTCTAAAACATCTTTATAGTTTTTTTTAAGGCCAAAACAAAATCAAATATCCATCCAATTAGATGAAGACCATAAATGTGCAATCTCTGAGGATCACTGGTTTCTTTTTCCAATACTTAAAAATAGGACAATTTAATTGGCAACAAATACATTTTGTAGTTTATTTGTTCTTTATATCTCCTTTTTATTAAAATCTCCTTTGCAATTGTGTTTTGGAGTTAAACTTGTGGGAGGAGCCAAATGTAAACCCAGTGAAGAAGCATGAGAGAAGAAATGCAAGAATGTCTTTGAAAACAGTGAATATTGAATTAATAGAAAACACTACTTTAAAAAGGTCAAGATGTGTCAGATGTAATTTTAATATCATTTTGAAACAGAAGAAATGTTATTTATAACAAAGCAGACTCCAAAAGAACAATGTAAGTTGAGAAAGAACCAGTGGCTCTTACAGGTAATATCATCAGGCAGAGCCTTCTTCACAAGGACCAGATTTTTGAAACAGATTTGAGAGTTTTTGCTAAACAGAGAAGAACTGTGGGTCGTATTGAAGTGAGTTTCACAATCATAAGAAAGAGAGGTATTGATATTTATTTATAATACACATAGTTCTTTGGATAAAGGAGGTGCGTTTGTTGCTTTTGGTGGATTCATCATTTTCATAATAGTTTTCAAACAGCATTGTTTTATTGTATTTTTTAATGGTTTCAGATCAATCCTTAGATTAATATTATAGGTACATTCCACAGTGTCTTTGGAGTTAAACATTCTCAAAGGTTTTGCTTTTTTTTTTACAGGAAGTGTAAATGTTTAGCTTTTAGGGTGCTATGTTGTTAATTTAGGTGCATTTAGAGAGTCAGACAAACACAGTTCATTATTTTGCTTGAACTCTTCTTAAATCAGAGTGAAGGAAATATCAGCTTTGTCATCTCTCAATGAGATTATAATCTAGGTCAGCTTTTCTGTGCTGGGTGTTGCTTTCAGACAATTATAACATGATCTTCAGGGAGAGAAGATGCGATGCCCTCACAACCTACTTGCTGTTGTCACGGAAGTACTTTGAACATGAGAGGAGCAGAAAAACACCACTTTTATAACTGCTTTTGTAATAACAACATGGGAATTAGTGGTTAATTGCTGAAAATGTCAAAGGCTGACAAAATGCAGGACTTGTCCCATGAGCCACAGTTTGACACCTGTGCTTCAGCAAATACAGTAGGTATTTAAAGCAGATCAATCAATCAATAATAATAATAACAATCAATAAACATCAAGGCTGGCTGCGTACACTATTTTCATATTCCCGCGCTCTTTATGACAGTTATTCAACAGCAGAGAGCAAAACAAACATATTCAGACAGACATTATTGGAGAGACACAGTACATGCGGAAAACATGATCTTTTTGATGGGACATTGCTCTGACCAGCCTCGTCCATGTGGCGTGTCACAGGAGAGTGTGGGTGTGTATGTATATATATAATTAAATTATTATCAGTGTAAAACACAACATTTTATATATTTTAAATTTGAAAATGATCAGTCCATTACAGTGGCTTAAAGACTATGCCTTTAGAAACAAAAATGGCTCTGTAGGACATTGTGTTTTTCACCATTTCTGGGCCTCATGAACCTTTGTACGGCCAAGGCAGCTGCAGCAGGAGTAGACTGCATGGATTTCTTTCTCACTTATATCTGTGTTTATGTCCAGCATTGAACCCGGTCCAGACTGTGTCGGTGGACTACGCCTGCGACACAGGCTCGGTTACTGTCTGGTGGATGCCCGTGCAAGGAGCCGACTCGTACAAGGCCCAAGCAGTGACCCCTGGAGAAGCATCACTTCTCTGCACGGGCACCTTCAGCAGCTGCATCATCACCGGAGTGAGCTGCGGCAGGACCTACGAGGTGCACGTCACGCCCATCTCGGACAACTGCGAGAACCAAGTGAACTCCACCTTCGCCATCTTTCACTCAGGTAAGGGAAATCGATGTGAGATGTCTAGTGAGATGTCCTTTCTGGCTGGAAGATTGAAGCTGTGGTAACAAATCAACTTTTGTTTTAGACTCAATTAATATGTTTACAAAGTACAAAGCACCAGAAACAGAATTACCCAATGCATTTGTATGCCTCCTTCTTTCCTCTCGAAAAAAACAGCTTCACGGGAGGATCCAAAAGTCAGTTCTTGGTCCAACAGATGTGCGTCAATGCTGAGGGGAGATTTATTTTTAGACCAGCCTAGTTTAGCAGCTGTGGACTTTTGAATGCACTCGTTAAATGAATGGGGCTTGCTAACACATGCGCAAATGCGTATTTTCACATTTTCCTGTGGGAGGGGCTGCCTGCGACCATTTTAAATCTACCCATGTCTGTGGCACATGGGTTTAAACAGAGAAAAGAGGCGTCACTACGTCTGTGGATATTTACAGTCTATGGGTGTGACCCGTGTAAACCGGATACTACATTCACATTTCAATGGATTTAAAAAGATGATTGACAAAAACGGTGATAAATTGCATGTACAGGATTGGCTCAGAGTATGAGCAGCAGGCCTGTCGCGGAGGAGAGACGAGTTTGTTTTGTAAAAAGGGATTCTTGTTTGGGATTGTGGGCACAAGACACTGAACGGAATGTCTTTAATTGGTTATGTGAGCTGCATTGGCGTAGTTTTGGCCAACAGTAAATCCACTCAAAATCTTGCAAATATTTGAGATTACATTTTCTATCATTCATTGAGTGCTTAATCTGAGCCGGAACACATGATGCAGCAGCTTTACGCATGTGCTTGATCAGCATCTGTCAAATTTGTATACATCTCTTTTGGATCTCTTCTCCCAGCTTTTTCAGACTTATGTGGCGTTCAGACTTATGGGGCGTTCAGACTTATGGGGCGTTCAGACTTATGTGGCGTTCAGACTTATGGGGCGTTCAGACTTATGGGGCGTTCAGACTTATGGGGCATTCAGACTTATGGGGCATTCAGACTTATGGGGGCGTTCAGACTTATGGGGCGTTCAGACTTATGGGGCGTTCAGACTTATGGGGCATTCAGACTTATGGGGCATTCAGACTTATGGGGCGTTCAGACTTATGGGGGCGTTCAGACTTATGGGGCGTTCAGACTTATGGGGCGTTCAGACTTATGGGGGCGTTCAGACTTATGGGGCGTTCAGACTTATGTGGCGTTCAGACTTATGGGGCGTTCAGACTTATGGGGCGTTCAGACTTATGGGGCATTCAGACTTATGGGGCGTTCAGACTTATGGGGCGTTCAGACTTATGGGGCGTTCAGACTTATGGGGCGTTCAGACTTATGGGCGTTCAGACTTATGTGGCGTTCAGACTTATGGGGCGTTCAGACTTATGGGGCGTTCAGACTTATGGGGCATTCAGACTTATGGGGCATTCAGACTTATGGGGCGTTCAGACTTATGGGGCATTCAGACTTATGGGGCGTTCAGACTTATGGGGCGTTCAGACTTATGGGGCGTTCAGACTTATGGGGCGTTCAGACTTATGGCGCCGTTCAGACTTATGGGGGTTCAGACTTATGGCGTTCAGACTTATGGGAGTTCAGACTTACGTGGCGTTCAGACTTACGGGGCGTTCAGACTTACGGGGCGTTCAGACTTACGGGGCGTTCAGACTTACACGGGGCGTTCAGACTTACGGGGCGTTCAGACTTACGGGGCGTTCAGACTTACGGGGCGTTCAGACTTACGGGGCGTTCAGACTTACACGGGGCGTTCAGACTTACGTGGCGTTCAGACTTACGGGGCGTTCAGACTTACGTGGCGTTCAGACTTATGGGGCGTTCAGACTTATGTGGCGTTCAGACTTACGGGGCAGGGCGTTCAGACTTATGGGGCGTTCAGACTTACCCGGGGCGTTCAGACTTACGTGGCGTTCAGACTTACATGGCGTTCAGACTTGTGTGGCGTTCAGACTTACACGGGGCGTTCAGACTTACGTGGCGTTCGGACTTACGGGGCGTTCAGACTTACGGGGCGTTCAGACTTACGGGGCGTTCAGACTTACGGGGCGTTCAGACTTACGTGGCGTTCAGACTTACGGGGCGTTCCGACTTACGTGACGTTCAGACTTACACGGGGCGTTCAGACTTACGGGGCAGGGCGTTCAGGGCGTTCAGACTTACGGGGCGTTCCGACTTACGTGACGTTCAGACTTACACGGGGCGTTCAGACTTACGTGGCGTTCGGACTTACGGGGCGTTCGGACTTACGGGGCGTTCGGACTTACGGGGCGTTCGGACTTACGTGGCGTTCAGACTTACGGGGCGTTCGGACTTACGGGGCGTTCGGACTTACGGGGCGTTCGGACTTACACGGGGCGTTCAGACTTACGTGGCGTTCAGACTTACGGGGCGTTCGGACTTACGGGGCGTTCGGACTTACGGGGCGTTCGGACTTACGGGGCGTTCACTGCAGTCTGCTACAACTACGTGGATGTAAAATGCCCTTTGTCTGTTGCCGATGATGTTGTTCATCTGAAAGCCGCTAACTTGACGCTGCAAGCACAAAGGTTGATGGGAGATGAAGTTGTGAACATGAGTGAGGCATATCTCCACATACATCACTAAACCACTGAACCATTACACTTTCAAATAAGATTTATATTATTATATTATATCGAGTTTGTTCTCCAGAAAATGTCTATAAAGGACATGATATTATAACTATATATATTATAATTATTTGTCTACTTGTCCAATCAGTCCATCTATTGCGGTCCCTCTGCTTTGCAAGTTTTTGTGCATGTTTCTCTCGCTTCATAATATCATACAAAATTACTGAAGTTACATTTAATATATTTAGCATTGCACTGATTTATATTTAATCCTGTTAATGATTGAGGAAGTGTAGCGGTTCCTCCTGCTTCCTGTTAGTGCCTCTTTAGTTCTAGTGGTTTAGCCTCAGTGGAAGAACGTTGGAAAGAAGATCACCTGGAGCCTCGTTTATCCCGTTATGGAAATGTGTGCTAAGAGTGACCTGCTTAAAATAACGTTTAAAGTCCAATATACCCTTTAGTCCTCGGTGCACTATAACTTTATTATTATTTATTATAATTATATGTTTATTTGATAGGGAGAGAACAGAAAGCATTGTTACAGGTCACTGATGTTCATCATTATAAACACAGAGTTCATTATAAACACAGATCATTATAAACACAGATCATTATAAACACAGAGTTCATTATAAACACAGAGTTCATTATAAACACAGAGTTCATTATAAACACAGATCATTATAAACACAGAGTTCATTATAAACACAGAGTTCATTATAAACACAGAGTTCATTATAAACACAGATCATTATAAACACAGAGTTCATTATAAACACAGATCATTATAAACACAGTTCATTATAAACACAGAGTTCATTATAAAAACACAGATTACACAGTACAGAATATTTACAGCAGACTATTGCATTGTGCTCACAAGTTTGGTTTGGGTTCGGATATTTTCTTCACATGATCAACAAATTAAAGATGAGAGTCCACGTGTAAGATACATGAACCCTTTCTTTAGTCGAGTGTTGAGAGTAATCTAAAAGTAATGTAATGACTGTACTGTATTACTTAATATAAGTAATATAATATAAGGCCTTCCAAATAAAAAACTGGGTCATATTTACTCGGTAAAAAGGTCAGTAACGAGTTACATTGGATTTGAACCCCGCCCTGCGCTCAGCGGTTGGTGTTAGTGAAAGAGACAGACACAGATGAGAGTCAGAGTTTGATCTTTAAAACGTCCAAAAAGATTCAGTGTTTACAGAGATACGACCCTCTCAAGAGTCCTGAGGCAGACACGTGTTTTAAAACAGCTAAGAATGATGCACTTCCATCATCTTTAGTAAATAAAGCCGCTGCGGTGTCTGGGGCTTTGTTTTTTTGTTAATTTAAATATTCTAATATTTAATGATAATTTATCACACGCAGCAGCAGCAGCAGAACACTCCATTGACTTGAATGTCATTTCAAAACGTTCTACAGAACCAACCTCTCAAACCAATAATGACCGCTGCCCTTTGGCAACGCACTCTGTGCTGGACTTTTGCCTCATTGAAAAACACATCTTATTCAGTACAACACATGTTGTGTTTCCTTTGTGTGTTGGCGAACTCCTCCGAGACGACGGCTGTGAACTAGGGCCGTGTTTTACCGTTGTCTAAATGTTGAACAACATGTTGTCACAAAGTGAAGCACAGGAACAGATGAACCAGGACAATGGACCAGCAACAAGGGGAGAGGAGCATGGGTACACAGAGACACAGGTACACAGAGACACAGGTACACAGAGACACAGGTACACAGAGACACAGAGACACAGGTACACAGAGACACAGGTACACAGAGACACAGGTACATATAGACACAGAGAGACACAGGTACATATAGACAGAGAGACACAGGTACATATAGACAGAGAGACACAGGTACATATAGACACAGGTACATATAGACACAGAGAGACACAGGTACATATAGACAGAGAGACACAGGTACATATAGACACAGGTACATATAGACACAGAGAGACACAGGTACATATAGACAGAGAGACACAGGTACATATAGACACAGGTACATATAGACAGAGAGACACAGGTACATATAGACACAGAAAGACACAGGTACATATAGACACAGAGACACAGGTACATATAGACACAGAGACACAGGTACACAGAGACACAGAGACACAGGTACATATAGACACAGAAAGACACAGGTACTAGGGCAGACAATCAACACAGGGGACCAGAAAGTCAACTATAACAGAACCACAGAACTGAAGTCAAAATAAAACCAAGTACAAAATGAATAAAAAATCCACACCATGACACTTGCCAAATGAGTCGGACCAGCCTTTCAACGTGGGTCGGCCTTTTATACTATAATGGCCATTACTTTTTAAATTACTTTTTAAACTTTTCTACACTGCCAATTTCCAACACACCATATTCAGGAGATGGGTGTATTTTTTATTGTGGTGAACCAAATTTTCCTCGGATCAGGCGGTGTTTTTTGGGATCATATTTGGTTTGGTATCTGCCTTTTGAATGCCAGGAAAAACAGCAGAACACACACACACTGGAGCTGGTGTCGCGGCCCCGCCCTGACTTTTGTACAGCCAGGTAATCCTTTCTTTCATCTCGCATGTCCCTCCATTCTCTGACGTGGATCCCAGCTTCAAGCCCCACCCTTGGGACCACATTGTGTGCGCGCCTGCTTTTGTCACAAATGATGGCGAATGTGATTTAATGTCAGTACTTGTTACATCGATACAGGATAAAGTCACTTAATATGGAATTGATAACAATGATAAGTATATACTGGGGCTCGTTCACCACATGATTGGCACGCAAACAATTTCACTGTTTTCTAAAGGACAGGATTCAAAATCATTATCCACAGGGTGTAGGTTATAGATATTATGTAAGGGATAATGTTTCGTTCACAGGTCATTATCGGAAAATAAGTACCGACAGGGCGAAGCGGACCCCTACGCGCAGGGGTCTGCTTCACCCTGAAGGTACTTACTTATGGTAAGAATATCCATTTATTCGTCACACAGTTGGGAAATTTCAGTTTGATGAACACACACACCTATATCATGGCATGTAGCGAACATTACTCCCGCACTCCTTATAGGCAAAGTGGGTTAAGTGTCTTGCCCAAGGACACAAGACAGCAGACATCAGTGGAGTCAGTGGAGAAGTTCTTGCGGTGGGTTTGAACCCTCAACCCTCAGACTCAAAGGCAAATGCTCTTCACTTGTTTGCAAAGGCAAAAAGAACCGTCATTAAATTGGATTTGAACACCGCCAGAGAACATATGTACCGTATGTATGTCCAGGTTCTCCGGTTTCCCCGGCCACTAAAAGCAGATGCAACACGTGATATCCTGTAGCTCGGTAGCCCTGACCAAGTCAAGAACTTCTGGAGATGGGCGACCACTGTTCCTGATCTGGCCCTTGAGGCAAAATGCAGAAGACACATTTTTCTGCGGGGACAGACTGAAGACTAAAAAAAACACTCAGCCAATCAGCAGAAGCATACAAATGATAACATGATTTCTAATAAGATGAGGAACCCCAGCTTTGAGGCAGTATATCTCCGGGTTTGGTTTCAAGTTTATGGCTTTAAAATGTTTTGTATGGTTTAGTGGCTGTAATATCAACTAAAGACATCTCAGATACCCCTGCTATGAGACGGCGGATTGGAAAGAGCCTCTCAGATAGAAGTACTTTATTAATCCCAAACGAATTTATCATACATAAGAACAATCAATGATAACAATAAATATGAAGTTCAATGTCTGTGATGCCTTCAGTGTCCTCTGCTTGGCTCCCTCCACTTGATCCAGCTTCAGCCCCCCCACAAAGCCTGAATATTAGCCTTAGCTAATACGTGGTGTTGGAGAGGGCTATTGTTATTCGTTGGTTTTATTTTATTTTAGAATCAGAATCATTTTTATTGCCACGTAAGTACAGTGCTTTGGCTCGGTGCAACAGTCAGAAAGAGAGGTAAGGGTAGAGAGGCATAATAAAAAAATAAAGAATAAAAAACACTTCTAATAAATACATTTAAATTTAAAATAAAAATTTAAAATAGAGTTACAGTTACTATTTACAATATACAAGTGCACATGGTGCACACAATGTAAGGTGACAGCAGTACAGTGAAGTAAAGTGACGTATGATGGGCAGTAAAGTGACTTTATAAAGGGCGGGGGGACAGGTTAAGAAGTGTTCAAGAGTCCAACAGCAGAGGGGAAGAAACTGTTCTTGTGGCGGGAGGTTCTAGTCCTGATGGACCGCAGCCTCCTGCCTGAGGGGAGTGGTTGGAATAGTCCATGTGCAGGTGAGAGGGGAGTGGTTGGAATAGTCCATGTGCAGGTGAGAGGGGAGTGGTTGGAATAGTCCATGTGCAGGTGAGAGGGGAGTGGTTGGAATAGTCCATGTGCAGGTGAGAGGGGAGTGGTTGGAATAGTCCATGTGCAGGTGAGAGGGGAGTGGTTGGAATAGTCCATGTGCAGGTGAGAGGGGAGTGGTTGGAATAGTCCATGTGCAGGTGAGAAGGGAGTGGTTGGAATAGTCCATGTGCAGGTGAGAGGGGAGTGGTTGGAATAGTCCATGTGCAGGTGAGAGGGGAGTGGTTGGAATAGTCCATGTGCAGTTGAGAGGGGAGTGGTTAGAATAGTCCATGTGCAGGGTGAGAGGGGTCGGCTGTGATACGACCAGCCCGGCCTCGAGCTCGGGCGACGTACAGGTCCTGCAGCGATGGAAGGCTGCGGCCGATCACTTCCTCTGCAGAGCGCACAATGCACTGTAGTCTCTGTTTGTCCCTGACTGTGGCTCCAGCGAACCACACGGTGATGGAGGAGGTGACGGAGGAGGTGACGGAGGAGGTGACGGAGGAGGTGAGGATGGACTCGATGATGGCCGTGTAGAACTGCAGCTTGGCTTTCCTGAGCTGCCGCAGGAAGTACATCCTCTGCTGGGCCTTCTTGATGAGGAGCTGATGGTCGGCTCCCACTTGAGGTCCTGGGTGATGGTGGTGCCCAGGAAACGGAAGGACTCCACAGAGGTGATGGGGGAGTCCATCACGGAGGGTGGGGGCGGGGGGACAGTGCTCTTCCTGAAGTCCACAATCATCTCCACTGTCTTCTGGGCGTTCAGCTCCAGGTTGTTACCACTGCACCAGGACACCAGCCGGTCCACCTCCCTCCTGTAGGAGACACCAGGACACCAGCCGGTCCACCTCCCTCCTGTAGGAGACACCAGGACACCAGCCGGTCCACCTCCCTCCTGTAGGAGACACCAGGACACCAGCCGGTCCACCTCCCTCCTGTAGGAGACACCAGGACACCAGCCGGTCCACCTCCCTCCTGTAGGAGACACCAGGACACCAGCCGGTCCACCTCCCTCCTGTAGGCGGACTCATCGTTGTTGGAGATGAGTCCAATGAGGGTGGTGTCGTCCGCGAACTTGATCAGCTTCACGGAGTCGTGGTTGGTGTACAGGGAGAAGAGCAGGGGAGAAAGAACACAGCCCTGTGGGGCTCCTGTATTTATAATCCGAGAGTCCGAGACATTCTTCCCCAGACGCACTCGCTGCTTCCTGTCCGTCAGGAAGTCAGTGATCCACCTGCAGGTGGAATCGGGCACGTTGAGCTGGGAGAGCTTGTCCTGGAGCAGGGATGGCAGGATTGTGTTGAAGGCAGAGCTGAAGTCCACGAACAAGACCCTGGCGTAGGTCCCCGGGGAGTCCAGGTGCTGTAGGATGTGGTGGAGGGCCAGGTTAATGGCGTCGTCTACAGATCTGTTGGCTCTGTAGGCGAACTGCAGGGGGTCCAGGAGGGGGGAGGTGAGGGACTTGAGATGGGAGAGAACCAGGCGTTCAAATGACTTCATGACGACAGACGTAAGTGCTACAAAAGCTACACTCTCCAAATATCAAACTGAACGTAAATGAAGAACCCTGTGAGTCAGTATGTGACGCTTTGGGCCGAGTGCTTTTCACTATTCTGTCTGAAAATGTGTAACTAAATATGAAAAGAATGAACTTAGATGCATTTGAAACCTTTTCTGTGAGGAACTGGTTTTATGACATGCATTAGCTGCATTTACAGTATGTGTTTTTAAAGTGCTCCAGCTCGTTAAGATCATCCACCTCCAGGTGTTGGTTTTTTCTCTTTAAATTGAAGCGGAAATAACACACTCAGATCCATATCCTGGCTATCGTCCATCTCTAGTGCGGGTTCAGTTCCTCAAATCATCTTTGCATAAATGTTCTTTGGGAGAAGATGTTTGTCTGGTTTAGTTCACACGTTATATTTCTGGTGAGAAAACTGGGTCTCCTTTTGAGTGCCGGTGTCTGCGGTGTCTGCGGTGCATTGTGGCGTGTCCTTTCAGCTGGGAAAGTGCGAAACATGAAACCACTTTACAGTGAAAAGCAATCTGCGCATCAGGGCGTTTCAACCTTGACCGGGATTTGAGATGCTCATATTTGAAGTTCACAGCCCATTAAAGGGGACGTATCATGGGCTGTTTGCGTAGTACGTAGTGTGGTCTGAGCGGTGCCTGCTGGGTCTCTGATGCGTTAACGATGATGTTGCATGAAGGAGCACAGAGAAATATAGTGGGACAACTCTGCTCTTTTACAACATTATCATAGATTCATAATGACATGAGGTGTCAGAGGTTATAGGTTATAGAAGGTTACGATACCTTACGATACATGCAGAACTTTAAAATGGTTTACAGAAACTCACGTTAGAATGTTTGAAGAGCTGGTTTTACTGAGCTGGTCTACAACATGTATGGTCCATCCCGGGCCTGTGGGGGTGGACCCGGAATAAGAATTAGCCAATGCTAACATATAGCATTAGCTGACCTCTGGAAAATGTCTTTACAGGATGGTCCAAAAGTTGTCTCTTGGCCCAAAGCTCCGTTCCACATGTGTGTCAATGCTGAGTGTTCTGGACCAGTCTAGTTTAGTCGCTGTGGACTTTAGAAGTCACTCGTTTAAATGAATGGGACTCGTGCAGCTGACGCATGCACAGATGTGTTTTTTCACATTTTCCAGCCCCCGCGGCCATTTTGAATCATTCCATGAGAGCCCAATTTTTGGCCCATTAGTTAGAACGGTGGAGATAGGCGTGACTACGTCCGTTAATATATACAGTCTATGGTTATAACCAATTCTCAGGTACAAGTTTTCTAAACATATGACGACTTGTTGTGGAATGATTTTCTGTACAACATTTTCTGTCGGGACAAACTATGTGTGAGATTTTAGAGGGTGGAATTAGGTACTCCAGCTTCAATGTTGAAAAGATTTCTGTATGCGAACTTTGAATATTCTCCTACGATCCACTCAGATGTAATTGCAGTGTCTCAGTTCACTTCTGTGTTTATTTATGTAGATTTATATACAGCACACGTTAAAACATTTCTGTTTTCTGTATCAACATCTATGAAAATATGAAATTCTATATTTTATCATGAAATGTCCCCATAAAATGTTTTATTCTAATGATTAATCATCAAGTGTTTTTATAAAGTGTTCTTACATTAATCGTTAGGTGTTTGCATAAAAAGCCTTTGTATAATGTTTAGCCTGAGTTTAGTGAATTCAGGGAAGACTCAAGGACAAGTTGGTTTCTGTGAAATAAGTTTCATTTTAGGAAGAGACCAGAGGAGAGCCAGAGCAGAGCCAGAGCAGAGCCAGAGCAGAGCCAGAGCAGAGCCAGAGCAGAGCCAGACCAGAGCCAGACCAGAGCCAGAGCCAGACCAGAGCCAGACCAGAGCCAGACCAGAGCCAGAGCAGAGCCAGAGCAGAGCCAGAGCAGAGCCAGAGCAGAGCCAGAGCAGAGCCAGAGCAGAGCCAGACCAGAGCCAGAGCAGAGCCAGAGCAGAGCCAGACCAGAGCCAGACCAGAGCCAGTCCAGAGCCAGACCAGAGCCAGTCCAGAGCCAGTCCAGAGCCAGAGCAGAGCCAGAGCAGAGCCAGAGCAGAGCCAGAGCAGAGCCAGACCAGAGCCAGAGCAGAGCCAGACCAGAGCCAGACCAGAGCCAGAGCAGAGCCAGAGCAGAGCCAGACCAGAGCCAGAGCAGAGCCAGACCAGAGCCAGACCAGAGCCAGAGCAGAGCCAGAGCAGAGCCAGACCAGAGCCAGACCAGAGCCAGACCAGAGCCAGAGCAGAGCCAGAGCAGAGCCAGAGCAGAGCCAGAGCAGAGCCAGAGCAGAGCCAGACCAGAGCCAGACCAGAGCCAGAGCAGAGCCAGACCAGAGCCAGAGCAGAGCCAGAGCCAGAGCCAGAGCAGAGCCAGAGCCAGACCAGAGCCAGACCAGAGCCAGAGCAGAGCCAGACCAGAGCCAGAGCAGAGCCAGAGCAGAGCCAGAGCCAGAGCCAGAGCAGAGCCAGAGCCAGAGCAGAGCCAGAGCAGAGCCAGATGACATCTTCTTTGGCACTTCCGCTCTCTTTCTACACATTTCCTAAAACCACAGACAGAGGACGTGGCAGAGCCTGGTTGTCCTCTCTGCACATGTTCAGATCTGGAGGGAGAGTTAAAATGGCTCCGCTCAGGGTTTTTAGGGAAATAAGAGTTCAGAGAGTTTTGTATTCATATTTAATTGTACAGAGGATTAAATATTGTTGATTTTGAACTCTTGAACGCTTGGTCTTATTTCTGTATCAAACTCTGAGACACGTCTGTGGTTTTTTTGACAATAATATGTTTTTCAGTTCCGTGCCCGCCGGAGAACCTCCTGTTGGAACGCAGCTGCGACAGTGAAGTCATCCTCTTCTCCTGGGCCAACTCCAACAATTCAAACCTCTACAAAGCGAAAGCAATCGACTCCAAGGTACAAAGTGGAATGCTTTTGTTTTTATTTGGCTTTTTATCGTCTCCAAAAACATAATATGCCACAATGTTCCTTACTTAAGAGTGTTATTTAACTTTTTATGTCAACAAAAAGTGTGTGTCTTTGAATATTTCCCCTTGTGACCCGGTGGTGGTCTGAGTGAGTGAGCATGAGACCATACAGTACAAAGTATAATGTACCTTTAAGAACAAACCTGGGTAACAGAAGGATATCCTGTTTCGATCAATCTATCCATAAATATTGATGTACAAAGCACTTTTCATGCATTTTGTCGACACAAGACACATTTAACACAGATAAGGGAATGGTATACTTTAAGATTCCCTACAATGCGTTTGGTCAGTGCTCGGACACCCATCTTCACACGATGATGCTCGGCTCAGGACCACCTGTGGTACATGTTTTTACTGGGTGTGGAAAAAGTGTGTTTATAGATCCAGATCATAAAATGTTAACAGAAGACTTGAAAATAATAAAAAACTACAAGGCAGCTCTCATCCACAACTGGTGAATCTGAACTCTGTAAACCTGGTTCCAGAGTGGATATGTTTGAAACTTCTGTAAACGCATCTCTGTGTTTGCGCCGAATACAGAACTTCCTCCTCACAATCCCATCACAGCTGCAGCTCATTCTGTGATCTGTACTGACCTGAAACATTCTTTGCTGCAGGATCATCGCTCCTCCGCTGCAACACTTATATATATATATATATATACAGAAAATATATACATTCACCACAGAGTTATTTAAATCTATATTAATATTTCAAATGGGTCAATGCAAGATGTTTCTCCTCAAAGCTTCCTGTTCTATTCTCCCACTGTTTAAGGTGTTAAGCATTTGTTTGGTTTTTTGTTATGGGTGGGGGAAATATTCATTAAAAAATTATGACATCAAAATATTCACATATGGACAGAGGGTATACGATATAATTTAGAGGGCTGTATGACAATGTTGAGAAAGTTATATAATTCATCCCTACTGGCAGATCAAAGTTAAACCGACGGGGGAAATACTTATCCTGTGAATCTATTTTTGTCCAATTAGAAAGCAAAGGGAGTGAGCTTAGGAGAGTCTGTGGGTGCTTGTCTCAAAAAACAAAACTCTTGTACTGTAGTTTGCAAACAGAGCGGATAATGTTCTATAAATGGTTCATGATAATAACAGTACTCTGTGTGTGTTTGTGTGTGCCCAGGGGGAGGTGCTGGAGTGTTTGACTGAAGATAACTCCTGCTACTTCACACAAACTCACTGTGGACGACACTATTACTTCTCAGTCTACTCCATGAGTGGAACCTGCCACAGCCAAAGCAGCCCCACCGTGGACATCAGCACAGGTACACACATACACTGTAGACCTGCTGCGTGATGCAAATGAAGGCATCTGATTGGTCAATCCTAATGGCTCATATCTGGATGTCAAAATAATTTATTTTTTTATTTATTTATTTATTTGAACAGTATTAATACTGCACAAAAGGAGTGGGCTGAAGCAAAAGCTTATTAGCACCGCACCCCAAAGCTAATTACAATCGAAATTTACATATTGAATATAGTTCAGAACAGGGATAAAAGGCACACAAGAGCTACATCTGCTCATACTGAACAACAGAACAATCACAATCAATTTATCAATTTACAGAGTAAAGAATATGTCATGACATTAACTTTGACTTTACTTACCAGAGAGAGACCAGAAGGACTCACTGACAAAAGGACAAAATAGATTTTAAGTTTATGTTTCAAGGCAGTTTCAATATACTTTGAACTGTTCTTAATCTTATTACCAGAGTGAGACACAACAACAGTCTGGTTAAGACAGATCTCCACAAAGCAAGAGACACAATATCACCATATTATTATTTTAAATATACTGACAGCAAGTTACTGTGAACAAATTAAACCTATTTCGCTCAAAAAAAAAAAGAGATGTTGCAGCTAGAAAGCAGAATATTTCTTTATATTTATTTATTTATTATTATTATTATTTTTGTATTTTATTTAATTTATTTTTTTATTTTTTTTCAGAGTAGGCAGTGACCCTATGTAGTGTTGTGCGATAAAAAGCCAGGGTGTAAAGCCAGTTGGAGACGGCAGTGACTCCTCACCAACAGACCCCACCCAGCTGCCCTATCAGCTGCTCTTGTAAATGTAAACTTTAAATGTTCTTGTCTTTCTATACTGAGTGATGCATTAAAAGATGTGTGATCCCTTGGGAGGAGGTACCTCTCAACGGATGCACAGCTCGCCCTATTTCTCCTTACTGGAATTTGAACAAAATAAATAACTTATGTTCCAAGCAGCAAAACTCAATTTGAACAATAGCTATTCATTGATTGCACTGCACCCCCTAGTGGTGACCCAATATTTCTCTATATTTTTCAAAGATCTTTTGTTTGTATTTATACTTAAACAAGATAATGTTTGGACATTGCTTCATTGCCGTCTCTAATTGGTTCCACAGTTGAATGCCATTAACTGTCAGGCTAAAACTTTTCAAAGTGGTCCTATGTTTCTGTGATTTAAAGTTTAGTTCCCCTCGTAATCCATAACATCCAGTACGCTCAAGAAATCTACTTTGTATTTGGTTTGGTAACAGTTTGTACCTTGCTTTGTATAACATCTGTACTGACTGGAACTCAAAAATGTCGCAAAACTTCATTATTTTTGATTTTAAAAATAAGGAGTTTGTGTGGTCCAAAAACCCGGCTCTATGAATTAGTCTCACAGCTCTTTTTTGTAATATCACCAACGGCTTTAAAGTATTTTTATAGGTACTACCCCATACTACAGTGCAGTAATTCAAATAGGGCAAAATTAGAGAGCAGTATAGTGTGTGTAGAGCTCTGATGTTTAAAGTGTGCTTAGCTTTTGCTATGACTGAAATGCTTCGTGAGATCTTAGTGGCTATATATTTAATGTGTGATTTCCAGGTAATCTTGTCATCTATAATGACCCCAAGGAATTTGATTTCATGTACCTGCTCTATAACCGCACCCTCTATCTGTATTACATCTTGAGTGGTGGGATTACAGTTGCCAAATATTATCATTTTACTTTTACTGAGATTCAGAGATAGTTTATTTTGTATGAACCACTTACTGACACTTTTGAGTTCCAAGTTAATCTTTTGACACAGTTGATTTAAATTGTCTCCTGATGCAAAAATATTTGTATCATCTGCAAATAGGATGAATTTAAGTATATGGGAGGTTTTACAAATATCATTGATGTACATATTAAACAACTTTGGACCCAAAATGGAACCTTGAGGTAATCCACACACAATCTCTCGATAACTGGACTGATATTCACCCATTCTCACATATTGCTTCCTATCTTGTAAATAACTAGTCACCCACTGCAGTGCTACCCCTCTGATCCCATAATGTTCCAGTTTATTGATTAATAGCTCATGGTTTATTGTATCAAAGGAGAATCTATCAAAAATAAAGGATCATACTCTCCATGCTGCACAGATGTTTAAGCCCAAAATGTTGATTCTGACAGAAACCATTTCAGGTTTACCACTCTCGCTTTTTGTCACATTAAAACAGAGTATTTTTGTCATGAAAACGTGAACAGATAATTCTGAAAACCTTTGTGCACGTGTGTTAAGAATGTATATGTATAATGTATTCTCCGATGAACATTTAAATGTCCTGATTGATTGATATTTGTGTCATTTGAGCGTGGCTATCTCCGATCAAGAATGACCGGTAGAACGTTTTAAAATGACATTCAAATCAATGGAGAGTTCTAATTAAATATATATCTAAACATATATATACAGTATAACATTGTAGGCTGCTGTGTAACTCCTCTCTATACACACTGATACACACTGACACACACACTGATACACACACTGATACACACACTGATACACACATTGATACACACACTGATACACACACTGATACACACACTGATACACACCGATACACACACTGATACACACACCGACACACACACCGACACACACACTGATACACACACTGATACACACACTGATACACACCGATACACACACTGATACACACACCGACACACACACCGACACACACACCGATACACACACCGATACACACACCGATACACACACTGATACACACTCTGATACACACACTGATACACACACTGATACACACACCGACACACACACACCGATACACACACCGATACACACACCGACACACACACCGACACACACACCGATACACACACCGATACACACACCGATACACACACCGACACACACACACTGATACACACACCGATACACACACCGATACACACACCGATACACACACTGATACACACACTGACACACACACACTGATACACACACTGATACACACACTGATACACACACTGATACACACACTGATACACACACTGATACACACACTGATACACACATTGATACACACACTGATACACACACTGATACACACTGATTTCAAGTTTGGCTTCTTCACACCAGGTAACATTAAATATATAGTGATCATAATCAACGAACCAGACCAAAAGGGTATTCACATCTGAGCAGGTACTTCATGTTTTTATGTCTCCCTTCCCCAGCTCCTTGCATGCCCAAAAACCCGCTCACGTCCGCCGACTGTCACACGGACGCCATGGTGAGTAAATGGGACTTGGCAGAAGGCGCAGTGAACTACACAGTGGAGGCGTACGGGAACGAGGCCAACAACAGCTACCACCTCTGCACCACGCACTCCAACAGCTGCTCCTTCCAAAACCTCACCTGTGGATCGTCCTTCACCATCTACATCACTGCCCACGACCAGTACTGCTCCAGCCCGCGCATGCTGGCCCCCGTGGCAAATGCCGGTAAGTTCACTATACTTCAAAACAGGCAGCGACCGCCAGTGTAGACCAAGGAGGCTGGACTCCAGAGACAGCATGGGTTCTGTTGCTGTGAGTCAATATAAAAGCTTACAATGGACAATCCTAAATGTATTATTATAATGGTCCACAATGTTTATTTCCATTTCCAATCAGAGAGCAGGATGAGTTGCCAGTTATTTGTGTTGCCAGTTTGTTAGGTGACATTTACCTGACTCTGTTTTGACACATTTCACAAACAAAACATAGCACCGTGCATTGATTTAAAAGAATGCAGATACAAAAATAATAAGAATTTGTGCTTTTCGATCCAAACCCCGGCAGGTACTTTACTTCTATGATTAGAGCTACATGTGTCAGAGACAACAAAAGAGTGATTGTATTTGTAATGACTTCATGACAGCACTAATAAGGCAGAATACATTCTCTTTAAAGCCAGAATTTCTGTCTGTAAAAAGATATTGAGGCATAACATTAATAACAAGTTTGTGGAGCTCAACAAAAACATGAAGCGGTAACATCTGTAGATCAAAAGCTTGAAGTGTACTGCAATAGGGCCGTTTATATTCATTAGATGTATTTTCTAGTCTTCATCCCCTGTTCTCATTTGACCGCTTGGAGTCTTTTGTGGCAGTTGGGGATGGTGTTCATGATCTTTTCTCATGTTTAAGCTGCCCATTCTTCTCCACAGAACAGCGCGATAATTGGAAAATAGAAAAACCTTTAATTGAGAATAAATGGCTTCACACAACGACTACCTTTGAGTCGGATAATGTATTCAGTCATAATCTCCAGAATATGTCCAAAACACTTACATCTCATTCTGGGTATCTGTGTGTCCCCTAGTGCCATGTACGCCTGTGAATGTCATTGTTTCCACGGACTGTGAGGCCAACTCCATTGCGGTGAACTGGAACATTGCTCCGGGGGCCATCGTGTACAGGGCTTCAGCAGTGGATGATCAGGGGAACGTCTACAGCTGCTACACGCTGGACCTGACCTGCACCATCGATAACTTACACTGCAGCACCAACTACAGTGTGTCCGTATTTGCCTCCAACCTGATCTGCAACAGCTCCATCAGCGACACCGTCCGCATTGAAACGGGTAATGTCCTCTCCAGTGCACATCCCAGGTGTGGGTCTGGGTCTAGAAAAGTATACCAGAGGCCTGGGAGCTGGAGGGTTCTGTGCAGAATCTTTGCTGTTCCTAGCACTGCACATTTCTGGACCGAGATGTCCGAGGTTGTTCCAGGGATCCGCTGTAACCTCTGCTCCAGCTTTGGGGTCACTCATTACATATATAATGGATTACATATATATACAGATTGACTGCTTTTGTTTTCTTCCATGCCTGTTGTATCATGTGAAATGGAAAGACTTGCAGCATCATGCATAAGGAATATACAGTATAAGAAGTCTGCTTTGGTTAACAACATCATTGAAGAATCCTAACATTATACACAAAGATGAGCCCAATAACAGCCGTACTGTTGTCTTCTTCTCCTCAGTGGCCTGTGCTCCGAGTAACATTACATCAACACTGGACTGCGCCAACAACGAGGCCCTGATCACCTGGACCGCCGAGCCCAGAATGAAGTCGTTCACTGCCACAGCTTTGGACCAAAACAACAGACTGCTCAGCTGCAGCTCAACCACCACCAGCTGTACCATCTCTGACTTAGAATGTGACCAGCGCTACAGCGTAACCGTGGGCAACCATGACGGCATCTGTCCCACCATCAACTCTGAGACCGTCAACATGGATTCAAGTACGGACTTACTCCTGATAATACCCATGCAGTCACTATGTTGTTGTTGGATAGACAGTAACTGTACAGTCTGATAGTATAACAGAACTTTTACTTATAAAATCACTTGTCATATGCATAGTAATGTAAAACTATATAATTAAAAATACAAAACTTTGCAAATACATTCTAAATTTAAACGGCAACATTGTCAAATTGCATATCAGCAGTTCATAAGGAATTGTCAATGGAATTCTAATAATTCTAATATATATAATATATAATTATAATTATATAGAATTATAATATTATAATTATACTTATAATTATAATATTATAATTATAATTATAATTATAATATATAATTATAATTATTAATAATTTATATTTAATAATTGTCCTTCTCATATCATGGAATTATTTTGTGCATATAACCCAGCCCATGTTTGAATTTCTGTTTTGGCATCAGCGCACATCTGCTTTGCATTCTTTCTGCCCCCCTCCCTAACATGTCTGTTGTGGTGCAGTGGCTTGTGGGCCCTCGGTGGCTGCAGACATGGACTGTGGGAGCCAGGTCCTTATGGCTTCGTGGGAGGCTGTGGCCGATGCAGAAGGTTACGAGGTTCAGCTGTCAGATGGCACTGTGCAGAAGAACTTTAGCATCACCAACCCCGCCTTCACCTCCAACAATCTCCTGTGCGGCAAAACGTACACTCTGAACGTCCGCTCCGTCATCGATGGCTGTGTCACGCACGCCACTCAGGTCACGGCCTCACAAGGTAAGAACAAAGAAGTCTCTGGTTCACTGTCAGTGTTGTGAGTGCGTGTTTGTGCCTGTTGTATTGACACCAACCTGACTACGGAAGTACACGCCAACTCTGGTGCATTTACATTTTGGAAAAAACCCATGTTGCTCATTGTGCACTGTCCCGACTTAAACCAAAGCAAACCAATAATCATTAATCTGGTCTCAGCCCAAAGCATCAAATAGCGACTCAAAGGTCTCTTTTTTATTCTAATATATTTTCTAAGAAGATTAATGCAGCATCTTGTGATCTAATTGGTTCACAGCATTTTTGGTCTTGGAACCCCACAAGCTGTATATAATTTTAAATTGCTATGTTCTCCTCTACATTAATATACAAGTGCAACCAAACTTTACACTAAAAATAATGCATCGGTTTTATACAGCGCTTTTCTGGACACTCAAAGACGCTTCACATGTGTCATTATTCATTCACTCCATACACGGTGGTGATAAACTACTAATGTAGCCACAGCTGCCCTGGGGCACACTGACAGAAGCGAGGCAACCAGTCTGTGCCATCGGCCCCTCCGACCACCACCAACCATTCACACACACACCAGACTCATTCTAGGCAATGGGGGTGAAGTGTCTTGCCTAAGGACACAACGGCAGTTTGGCACTTTACAGCCGCAGCCGCCCCACTGTGGCTGGTGTGCCCAGAGGTTAAGTGTCTTGCCAAGGACACAACGACAGTAATCAGTGGGAGTCGATGGTGAAAGTCCTGAGCGGGGCTTGAACCCACGAACTTCTGGCTCAAAGGCCAACGCTCTACCAACTGAGCTACTGCCGCCCTAAAAAGATATAAAGCATAATATGGGCACAAAAACATTGCATTCTTACCTTTGGACCTGTGTCTAACTGAAGTAAATGTCCATGGAAGAGCAATATCCACCGAACTATAGTGCATTATGGAGATAGAATCCAGAAATGTGTGTTTGTCACAGATCCTCTCCTCTTCTTCTTAGCTAAACATGAGACCTTGGTTGAGGCAATCTGTGCTGTAGTTTTTTTAATAACAGCCACATTTGTACAAAAGTCTGCAGCCCTTAGTTATTTTGTAAGTCTAAAATATATCCTGGTTTAAAAAAAAAAAATACTGGGTAACGAGCAATTTCTAAGCCTTTCAAAGACTTGTCATGATCTGTTTCAGCCAATCTTCATATTGGTTTCTCAACACTAAGTTATTTTTCTGATGGAAAGACAACATTCAGTCACTTGAGAAAGTTCTATTTATTACCATGATTCTCACAAGTACATTCTGGGTTTCTCAGCTCCCTGCCCGCCCACCAGCGTAGAGGCACTGGCCGCTTGCCCGCAGACCTCCGCAAACGTGACGTGGCAAACCAGTGAGGGCGCCCTGTCGTATGAGGTCACAGCCGTGTCCAGCTCGGGGGCCCAGCTACAGTGCAACTCCACCGGGACGTCCTGCCAACTGGGCCAGCTGCTGTGTGGAGAGACATACAGCATCACAGCCACAGCCCTGGATGGGCAGTGTGAGAGCCAGAGCAGCGCGCCCACTCAGCTGACCACAGGTGAGGACAGAGACCCCAATTTATTTAATCTAAGAACACCGTTTATATGGACAAACAGGGGCTGAAACATGTGAATGTGTACTGACCAGTGCTTCTGCTGTTGTGTCCGTCAGAGCCGTGTGCCCCCAGCAGCCTGGCAGTCTCTGTGGACTGTGCATCCAACTCTGCGCTTCTCTCCTGGCACAGCAGCCCAAACGCAGCCTCGTACGCTGGCACAGGCGTGAGCGAGTCTGGCCACACGGTGAGCTGTGCGGCTGGACCGGACCTCAGCTGCAGCCTAGACCAGCTTCAGTGCGGAGAGGAGTACCGCTTCACTGTCACGGCCTCTGATGGAACCTGCCAGAGCGCGGAGAGCCAGGCCGTTCTCCAGTCCACTGGTGAGCTCAGCGCAGAGTCCAATGTAGGCTGTTAAAGCTTGGGTACCTAACTTTATAGTGACATAGATGATACATGTCATCCCAACAGAAAGAACCATGTAAAAGTCTAATCTTAGAACATCCCATACGGAAAAGTTGCACATAAACATATAATGAAGTCACATTATACAACTTTATATAATGTTTGTTTGATTATCTCCTGAAAGTGGCAACTTTTGCTTGTCTTTCAAATATGGAAACACAATTGTGTTTAATGTTGTTTCTATACAAGTTGTTTACAGTCTTTGTATTGCAGTTTTACAATTTATAATCAATATAAATACGTAAAATCTCTTCTTTACTTTTCTATCTGAAAAGGCTGATTTAAACATAGACAGAGGAAAGAAACACATGTGTGAAAACTAATGACATGGATTTTATTATATTACTTTGTTAAATAGTTTGTGATTTGAAAACAAACTCTAAGCATTGATTATGATTAATTTAAATCTGAAATAATGAAACAGCTCTGACCATGGCGTAATATGGGTGTGTCTTATCCAGGTATGTTTTTGATTCTTAAAAACTCAACAAGGAAAATGTTAGTGGAATAAATCTATTTTACTTCAGAATTCACAACTGCTCGTCTTTAATTAGATCTTGTGACTAGAAAGCACACTTTAGTCATCTCTCGCATGTCACGTTCTAAAAAAAAAAACGGCAAAGCTAATATATATTTTACAAAAGCATCATATTCAGAGACAACTTTGTCAATTATCATTTGTGACAATATTTTACTGCTCAAATACAAACTTTTGCTAAACCTGTGCTGACATCTGTAGATATTCCTGACCATGATAAAAGGGTGGTGTGTGTTCTGTGCTGCAGCTCCGTGCGCCGTCACCTCCGTCTCGCACACGGTGGAGTGTACCAGTGACTCCCTGCTCACCTCCTGGACGCCTGCACAGAGCGCCCTGAACTACACGGTGAGGGCGGAGAACGTGGATGACGGGTCGGTCCTGAGCTGCAAGACGGAGCAGTCCGGCTGTGTCCTGGACGGTTTACCCTGTGGAGAGCAGTACACAGTGACGGTCACCCCCAGCAGCAGCTCGTGTGTGGGGCAGAGCAGCGAGGCCCAGCGGGTCAATACAGGTGACCCACACCCACACTCACTGCTGCAGACTGGAGCTCACTACACCCAAACTCATACTGTATGTCATTGTGAGAAGAGAAGGCACCACTTTATCATTGTTCATAATCACCAGGGCTGTAGTTAATGATTATTTTGGTGAACATCATTCTTTTGGCTAAATCCACTGAAAGAGGATATTTTTCACGCTATTTTTCCTGTCCAGGGCCGATCCGAACAGTGGGGCTTGACACAACTGCTGTGGTTAGAGTAGGGGGCCTGGGGGAGAAGGGCTTTCATTCATTAAAGGTTCTATATTTCACTTTTCTTAATGGTTCACAGCCCATCCTATGCACATGTCTGATAATAATGTGAGTGGTACACTACACAACATTCTAAACTTTTAGCCATTTCTTGCGTATAGCAGATGTCACTTTTATTGAATCTCACTGTGCTCCTTCCACTGTGAGCTTGGACTGAACTTCCAAAGGAGCTTGATACACTCAGCAGTAAGGGCTCTATGGTTCTACTTTCAGCTCCATGCGTCCCGAGTAACATCGTGGCAGAGATCCAGTGTTCGGACAACAGCTTGCACTCGTCCTGGGACAAGGTGCCCGGGGCCACCTCCTACTTGGCAACACTGAGTGGAGATGGAGGTTTCTACCAGGAATGTCCCTCCAGGGTCGGCTTCTGCAGCTTCAGCAGCTTGGAGTGTGCCCAGAGCTTCACCCTGAACGTGACCGGAGAGAACGACCGCTGTAACAGCAGCGCAACTCTGGATGTTCAGAGCGGTATGGGACGATTATTACAAGGAACTTTAGTTTTTGTTTTATCGTTGTACAATTGACAGCTTTTGGAGTGGAGGCTTTATACTTAAGTCAAATATGATCCAGATCATAATTTTGTTGCGAAAATGACTTGAATTGATTGAACAATTCTGGTTAGCTGTGCTGTATTATTGAATATATTAATTCAGGTGAGAAGTGGTAAGCTGTGCATTCTCAGGTGTTTCTGAGGCCACGCTTACACATGTCGGTCTGGTTCACTGAATTTCTTACAGAAAGTTCAAGTGAACAACTTTCACAGTGGATTTAAAGTGGGTGCCACTGACCAAGGAACGATGCCCTGAAGACCCAGAACAAAACTAGAGCGCACTGATAACAAAAGTAACAGTTAACAATTAAACAAGAGGGAAGATGTCTGCTGCTGAGTCTGTTCAGAAACATGTTCCAGGCTCTATGTTTGTGAGCATGTCACAGATCTGCTTCAAAAGATATGGACTAAAGGAACTCCTTCAGTCAATTTACCTCGTTTGAAACTGATCTTTAAAGAATATTCCTCCTGAAACTAAGCAGACTTGGTCCGGTTCGAGTTCAACCAGACCAAGTATTTGGCAGTTTGACACAGTAAAATGTGTAATTTGTTCGACTTAAAACGTTTTTTTAGAGGGGTTCTTAATTTTCATCACACGTACACTTCAAATGTGGGTGACATATAGAAATAAAATGGGTTGAATAAATGTTCGACCAATATTATGTAACCTGCGTTGGCAATGAAACCCATCGGTTATTCTTCAGGTTTCCACACACTGTAGCTGTTTGTGCAGTGTTAAACAAATACTGAATTGGAGAGCTAACTCTTCATGTGTCATGTGTCCAGCCCCGTGCGACCCCACTGACGTGACGGCCTCTCTGGACTGTGTGTCGGGCGTGGCCTTGGTGAGCTGGACGGCGAGCGCGGGAGCCCTGTCCTACACGGTCTTGGCCCAGTCCAATAACCACGAGGCCCGCTGTGGGACAGACACCACCTCCTGTGAGCTGCCCAGTCTGATCTGTGGAGAGGCGTACGCTGTGATCGTGCTGGCAGCAGACAACACCTGTAACAGCAGCGTCCTGACCACGCTGACCATCACCACAGGTCTGTGCGCCGCGCTCACTGCTTTCAAGTGCTTAGCTCTGCTTCTGATGGTGATAATACAGGACACTCTCACAATTAGAATGTTGTCCTAAAGTTCATTGTTTTAGAACTGGACTTCTTCTGCGGAAGTCCACCACACAAAAGGTTCAACAAGGTTCAGAAATAAAATAGGCCTATTTCAAAACTAATTCCAACTTAATCTGGGCAAGCAAAATGTATGCAGTTATTAAAGCTTCTACCAATTTAGAGTCTTGAGCAAAGTGAAGACCTATAATCCGTCCACTTTGAGTTATTCACCTTTTTATTTTTCAAGGATAGATTATTGTAACTTGCTAAAGTAAGTAAGTAATCTTTATACAGCGCCTTTCACAGACCAGAATCACAAAGTGCTTTACAAATTGTTGTGGGAATTTGTCTCTTACTCCACACAGAGAAACAGTGGAGTGTCCATTCTGTGGTCTGCACTAAAGCTCAGCCAAGTGCCTTCAGCTCCAGAGGAACACGTAGGACAGAGCACATTACCCCTGTGCTTCACTGGCTCACAGGGACAGAGAGAGCACATTACCCCTGTGCTTCACTGGCTCACAGGGACAGAGAGAGCATATCACCCCTGTGCTTCACTGGCTCACAGGGACAGAGAGAGCATATCACCCCTGTGCTTCACTGGCTCACAGGGACAGAGAGAGCACATCACCCCTGTGCTTCACTGGCTCACAGGGACAGAGAGAGCATATCACCCCTGTGCTTCACTGGCTCACAGGGACAGAGAGAGCACATCACCCCTGTGCTTCACTGGCTCACAGGGACAGAGAGAGCACATCACCCCTGTGCTTCACTGGCTCACAGGGACAGAGAGAGCATATCACCCCTGTGCTTCACTGGCTCACAGGGACAGAGAGAGCATATCACCCCTGTGCTTCACTGGCTCACAGGGACAGAGAGAGCACATTACCCCTGTGCTTCACTGGCTCACGGGACAGAGAGAGCACATTACCCCTGTGCTTCACTGGCTCACAGGGACAGAGAGAGCACATCACCCCTGTGCTTCACTGGCTCACAGGGACAGAGAGAGCACATCACCCCTGTGCTTCACTGGCTCACAGGGACAGAGAGAGCACATCACCCCTGTGCTTCACTGGCTCACAGGGACAGAGAGAGCACATTACCCCTGTGCTTCACTGGCTCACAGGGACAGAGAGAGCACATCACCCCTGTGCTTCACTGGCTCACAGGGACAGAGAGAGCACATCACCCCTGTGCTTCACTGGCTCACAGGGACAGAGAGAGCACATCACCCCTGTGCTTCACTGGCTCACAGGGACAGAGAGAGCACATCACCCCTGTGCTTCACTGGCTCACAGGGACAGAGAGAGCACATCACCCCTGTGCTGGCCTCACTTCACTGATCCACGTCATATTCATGATTGATTTTTATATTCTGTTGCTTGTTTTTAAATGTTTAAAACGTCATAGCCCCTGTAGATCTGAAAGAACTCTATCTCTGTCTGCTCTTGTCACTTCGGTCAGAAAATCTTCAACCTTCTATTGAAGGTCTCGTCTCAAAACCTGAGGAGCCTTTTCTGCTGCTCCTCCAAAACTGGACTGTACTTTAAAACTGTACTTCAGAGCAGCCCTTTCATCGGTTTTAAAATCTAGTCTAATCTAATCTAGTTTTGGGGAGCTGGCGTTTTGTAAATGTGCTACACAGATAAATCATCGATATTGGTATTGATAGACTTTAGACCAGTAGGGGGCAGTTATTTTCTCCTGGGGGGGCCACATTGGAATATTGTCATAGGGCGAGCCGGACACGTTTGCAAGTATGTGAAAACTATTTCAGATTATTATTATTATTAATTTGATAAACAAAAACATTTAAAGAATAGAAACAGAGGGAAACACGAAGCCAAAATATCCAGCGTTTTTTGTTTTTGTGTAAAATTTGTTTATAGCTTTATCTGTGATATAGATTATCGCTCAGCAGTTAAACACTATTCTAATATTCTGAGTTTCACATGAACAAGTTATAAGAGCTGAGTCATGCTTCTAAGTTCATGAACACAGGTTAGAAATGGTTAGCCATCCTTCTAAGTTCATAAACACAGGTTAGAAATGGTTAGCCATCCTTCTAAGTTCAAAGTGGACACCAGCTGGGATGAAGTGGTTCATTCTTTTCATTATCAATAGATTGTGAGTAAATATATTAGCCAAAGAACTGATTGGCTGATGGAGGGTGGTTTTCCGGGTAAATTGGGGGCTCTGAGCTGGTCAGAGATAGCTTTAAAATGCAGGTACCCCAGCTTTAGCAGAAACACTTAATAAGACCCATGTTCATCAGTGTTTGTTTGCGTTGCAGCTCCATGCCCTCCAGTGCTGCAGGACTTCTCTCTGGACTGCACCACAAACGTTGCAGTGGTGCCCTGGGTCAAGGACGAGGATGCCCAGTCGGTCCTGGTCAGTGCCGTGTCCAGCCTGGGACACTCCACCACATGCAGCTCGGACAACAGCAGCTGTGTGCTCAGTGACCTGCAGTGTGGAAACTCCTACACCGTCACCGCAGTGGCCAAGGGCGTGCAGTGCAAGAGCAAGCCCAGCGCGCCTCTCACCATCACCACGGGTAAGGACCGACCCTGGGTGTTCTCCTCTTCCTCACGCACAGGCCCTGTCAGTGGTCTGGACAATGATACAAGATATTTTAGGCTGTTGCTTATATGTGGGTCAGGTGAAGAAGGTTAAAGGTTATAAAACTATACGCAGTAAAACAACTAGAGGGAAGAAGAATAAATGACAAATGTCGGCAGCTCTGCGTTTGCTCCCGGCATGTTGGATCCTTAAACTCACAGGCTTCCATCTGTCAAATAGTGTGTCCTCATCGTCATCATCAGGGCATTTTATCCAGATGATGATTTTGATTTATGTATTCTGACACACTCCAGTCTCCCCTCTTGATAAAAAGCTGAATCGGGTCCAACTAACACACTACATTTCCCTCCTGGTCCCACATCATCAGTATCTTCGCATTAGTTGAGACTCTTTTCACTACAAAATAATTATTTTTTGCACTGTTTAAAATGTAAACACTGGATCTTGTCTGTTATACATGTTTATTCATATTTTTTCACATTCTAACAAATGATTTGTTTATTTATCTAGTTACATGACACTGTGCATAATCTCTGACTGTGTTCTCCCTCAGCGCCTTGCACTCCGGAGAACATAGATTTCACAAACTCGTGCGAGACGGGCATTGCCATCGTGACGTGGGACGACAGCCTGGGCAGAGAGTCGTTCCGTGTGAGCGCCACCTCAGCCACGGACGTGAAGACCTGCCTCAGCGACAGCACGGACTGCTCTATTAGCTCCATGCTCTGTGGTCAGCTCTACAATGTGAGCGTGTACGCCATCGCTGCCCACTGCAACAGCAGTGTACCCGCCTTCACCCAGATACAGACAGGTGCGGTTCACACGCACACTTTGCCCATTTAACATCTGTGACAACAGTCTTTTGTGGTAGTTGTGGATGGTGTTCTTTATCCTTCTTTGGTGAAGCTGCCCATTCTTGTTGGCAAAGAGCCTTCAGTTCCTATAGATTCATGGGCCACCATGCCATCTCAGAGCACCTATCATCTAATATAAAACACGTTTAGTTGACAGAAGATGGCTTCACAAATGAGTAACGTAATGAAAATAAGTAGCTTTCAACTGTGGAATTCTCTGCTTTGGTGCATTAACTTATATTGTGGTATTTTGTCTTCAAATCGATTATCGATTATGCTTATTGATATAAGTATTCATATGTTAATCCTCCTCTTCACACTGGCAGAGGGTCTTATTTAAATGAAGAGGAGTCATTACCCAATGAAGTCTTGAACCTTAGCATGGAGTCTCAAAAGGAAGAACTCCCCCACAATGTTTCTGAAGAATGATTTATGTTTCTGTTATGTTGTGTCCGAACCCTCAGCCCCGTGTGCACCAGAGGACGTCGCGGTCTCTCTTCTGTGTGACAACAACACTGGCTCTGTGAGTTGGAGTCCCAGTCCTGGTGCCGTGTCCTACACCGTCAAAGCCCTGGGGCGAAGTGGGCAAGCGCCGCTGACGTGCTCCAGCGACAACACGTCCTGCGACATTCCCAACATGCAGTGCGGCGAGACGTACAGGTTCACAGTCACGCCCTTCTCCCTCGAATGCCAAGGATACGACAGCCGAGAAATGGAGTACCTGGCAGGTAACAGGCCTGAGGGAAAACACAGTCATTGCTTCACAATATTAAATTTTACTGCTTTATATTGCTTTATATCCACCATGTTTTTGTTTATACATTTCCAAGCCTCTGTATGTTATGTCTTATGAATTAATACCAAGTGAATTACAGCTAATGGTAGTTTTAAGAACCAAATAGGTCTTTTGAATTGGAAAAAGTCTCAAACTCACAATGTTTAAGGTAAATGGAAGCTGAAACCCACAAATATTACTGTACTTTTAATAAACACTTTTGTATTGATTGCACTTTATTGGTTGGACAGTAATAAAAGGATTACTTGAAAAATAGTTTTTGAGTTTACACCTTATTGTTCTGTTTCCAGGCCCCTGCCCTCCTTCTGACTTCACCGTAGACCGGCAGTGCAGTGGGAATGTGGCCGTGGTCAGCTGGAACCCCGTGCCTAAAGCAGAGTATTATGAGGCGTCCGCTTTGGAATTGGTCACTCCACACACTCACAATTGCAGTTCCAGCAGCACCACCTGCTCCATCACCGACCTGCACTGCGGAGAGACTGTGGCCATCACGGTGCAAACCCGGGAGAGGGGCTGCTGGAGCCAACCCAACCAGGCCTTTCTGTTCGAAGCAGGTCTGTAGTCCATCCCAGCAGGTGTATCATCTCATAATGACCACATCCTGCCTTCAAACTTTTATTTAGATGTACTGTAGCTCAAAGAATTGTTGACTAAGGCCCCGTTTAGCACTTCGGAAAAACGACCCCGCCCCGGATTTGATGTGCAAAGTGTCTACGAGGGGACGGAAAACAATGTAGTTCTAGTGCCCGGCCAGTAGAGGGCTGTGGAACTTTACAATGCCACACGCGACCCCCACTAGTATGACCACTTCCTCAACAAGATTCTCAACAAAGCCAGGAAAGAACCAACATCATCATTTAGAGAGCCTTTGTTTGGATCGGGGGTAGGGGGCGACAGTGGCTCAGCTGGTAGAGCACTGGTCCTTTTCACGCCCTGCCATTTTATAACATCAAAACTCTCAAAATCAGTGCATGATGTTCAACTGGCATATGGATATTTACTTAATTACATAGTCATCTCTCTCACTTTTAGAATGGTGTAAGTAGTTCCCCGAGAATACTCTGAGCCAGAAGCCAGGCAGGTTTATTTCTAAATATCTGCAATAATCCTCCCATAATGCACAGGGTTAGGGTGAGAGGCAACAGAACAAAATGAAAACTATTTTTGGACACATTGGTATAATAACTTATTATTTCAGTATGAAGATTTTTGGGTCCAGATTTTGTTTTCTTTGGACAGATACTCAGAGTACTCTTTTTGGGACATTATTCAGATAATTCCACAGATACACTCCCACTGCCATAGGGCACTAGCTAACCATGCGATTGTGAGACTTTTCTGAAAAAGGCTCTGGGACATAAAGGTGGGACTTTAAGGTCAGTTCATATCGCTGGGTATACTGCCTGCAGCAGTTTTCACACTTCCAGGGAGAAACTTCTGAGGGATGTATACTGTCCACGTGTGCAGAACTCAGAAGTTTCACCTACTGTTACTTGTCTCCTCAGTCATTTGCCCACCGACCGGTCTCACTGCAGTGACCAATTGCAGCAACAATGACATCACAGTGAGTTGGGACTCCAGCCCAAAGTTAGGAGTGACCTACTACGTGGACTCGGCCCAGCTCGGAGCCTCCTCTCAGCAGTTCAGCAGCTCCAGCACGTCCCATGTGATCACTGGTCTGCAGTGTGGACAGCTCTACACTCTCCAAGTCTCCGCACAGTACCAGGAGTGCACTAGCGCGCCCAGCAGCACCATCCAAGCACAGACAGGTTCATGGCCATTTCAACTATCTAGAAAAAAGTGTTATACTGTTTATTAGACAATTATGTCAAGGCAACATCTTTGAATGAGACATTGTCTATTTGAGCTTTTTGCTAACAAGATATGAATGAATTCATAATGAATTTATACATGAACTTATCCTTGAATTCCTTATGGTTAATTATTAATTCATGATGATCATTAATGATGTATTCAGATAACTCCTGAAAAGATTCATCTTAGCCCTAAAGTCGTGTGTGGAACATGAGTTCATCATGATTTGGCATTTACCAGGTTTTTGCATGATCATGATAATCTGAGATTATTATTGCATTTATTATTGCATCATTATGTCATCATATATATAATAATTAACGCGAGGCTCTGAAAAAGTGAGATATATTGGTATGTGATTGTCCTCAAAGTCTCTGTCAGACACAAAAAAAGAATCTCTATCAAACTTGTGCCTCCTTTTAATATTTAAATAGTGTTTATGTACATGTGGACAGTTACTCTAACAACCCTTATTTTTACAGAGAAAAGTAAAGTAACACCTTAACTAACGACATTTAAGTCATATTTTTATTCTTGTACATAGTGGTTAGCAATGTTAAGGCAAGTAAATGATTTTGTTGATGTGTCCTTCTGAGCAGCCCTTGTTAAGGCCCAAAAGAGGAATAGTCTAATCCAGTGTTGTGTGCGCAGCGCCCTGCCCGCCCACGGGTCTGGAAGCTTCCACCGACTGCGGCACAAGCTCAGTCACGCTGAGCTGGACCCAAAGCAGCCGTGCCACTGACTACACAGCCACCTTCACTGGGGCCAACGGGGACGTGACCTCCTGCTCCTCCAACTCCAGCAGCTGCACCGCGAGGCTGGACTGTAGCCAGCAGTACACCGCCGCGCTCACCGCCTCTGATGACGCGTGTTCCAGCAGCATTCCCGCCACACTCATCTTTAACTCTGGTAAAGATTCTTTTAACATGAAAGTTGATAAACAGAATCCGAAACAGAATTATGTTTAGCTCCAACCACACTAATAATACTGGCTAACCCCATATGGTGTCACAACACAATGGTGTCAAAAGCATTACTGCCGAGGGGAGATCCGTAATTCTATCAATCAACTTTTATTTGTAGAGCGCCTTTCCTAAAGAAGCCACATCACTTCAATCATAAATCATAAACATTACAATCTATAGACATTAAACAGAATTAAAATCCCACAGGGAATAAAAACACACTATCACAAGAAATATTAAAAACATAAGAAATACAATCACACACGTAATTTAAAAACATAAAACATTAAAATCACACTTAGGATTAAAATCATGAATAGCCACAGTTCATAGTCATTCGAATATAGTCATTGAGTTGAACGCACAGCTAAACAGAAGTGTTTTTGACCTAGATTTGAAACCTGCCAGAACAGCCTGTCTCACTTTTTCAGGAAAACTGTTCTAGACTTTAGCTGCATGAATCTGAAACGCTGCTTCCCCATGTCCTGACTCTGGGCACCAGCAGGAGGCAACTTCCTGAGGCTACTTCCTGAGGCTACTTCCTGAGGCTAGTTCCTGAGGCTAGTTCCTGAGGCTAGTTCCTGAGGCTACTTCCTGAGGCTACTTCCTGAGGCTACTTCCTGAGGCTACTTCCTGAGGCTAGTTCCTGAGGCTACTGAGGCTAGTTCCTGAGGCTAGTTCCTGAGGTGACTTCCTGAGGCTAGTTCCTGAGGCTAGTTCCTGAGGCTAGTTCCTGAGGCTACTGAGGCTAGTTCCTGAGGCTACTTCCTGAGGCTAGTTCCTGAGGCTACTTCCTGAGCTCTTCAGAGTAAATAGGAGCACAGGATGTCTGCTGTCACTTAACCAGCTCAGTCACTTATGTCTTTAATATTCTCCCAACAGTTCTTGCTTCGCCATAATCGTTCCCATCTTTGCTTTGGGCATCCTTGATACTGACAGAGTAAACATGCTGCCATGGTGTCCGTTTTAAAGCACCCTCTTTAATGCACACAAAAAGGGAGGAAAAATAGGGGCAAAGAGGGTGGTGGGTGGATACAACAAACAACTGCATAGATAAGCACTCACACACACACACACACACACACACACACACACACAGACACACACATACACGTTTTTGTTACCTGGTGGGTCCCTTTGACAGGGCCGTTCAGAATGGGACCCATAGACATAATCTTTTTTTACTGGGACTACTTTAAGTTATACAAAACAGTCAATAGAAACCAAACAACTCTTTTAAAGGAATTTTATTTTAGATTTTTTTTTCGAATTGCAGTGATTCTATTTTTGACATAGAATTTAATGCCACTCCATGTCCGATGTCTAAGGTCATCTGGTGAGGCATTAATGCAGGCCAGGCAGTGAGACTTCCCAGGGACCTTTCCAGTCTGTATGAAAGGTGTCATGGTCTTCTCCACAGCCTTCACCTCAGATGCAGACCATGGCTTTCTCTAACGTTCTAGGGAGAGAAATAAAAATATATTAGCAATATACACTCCCAGGGTTAGGACCAAGCAGCCTGGCTGTAATCCCCCACCTGGTACACTTACCAGAAGGGGCACTGCCACTACCATGGGGTGCATCTGGATGAATGGTTGAAGGTTCTCTGCTTGAAGTTTCTTTTAGCCCGTCCGTTTGTGAGAGGATCTCTACTGCTCTCCCTGTCGCACAGAAAATAAAAATACAAGTGGCCTTTAGGGGAAAAAAATCATACATATTTTAATAATATCAAGAATTACCTTCAGGCTCAATTTGTATCTGGTCGAGGCTCTTTCCTTCGAATTCCGTCACTCTTCCCTGCTCCATGGCCATCAACACTTTGCTGATTTTGGCCAGCTCCAGCGCCCCCTCTGGTAGTCTGTAATATTGCCTGTGGATGCGAATGTCATGGCCGAGGAAGTTGGCAAGTATGTCCATCTCATTCTCTTTCATATTGAGAACTGTAGACATAGTAGCTATGTGCTTTCTAAGTTTGGTTGAGGATAGCATCTCTGGATGCACCGCACCACATTCTTTGGCTACCTGGCGTAGGGAGTCTGATCCCCTGATGTGGGTGTCTGCGCCCGGGCGGGAAAAGAAGTATGGGTTATGGTCAGAGATGGAACAGGCCCTTCTGTTCTCCACCAGCACCTCCATCGAAGCAATCATTTCAGGAGTCAAAAGAACCGGCACTTTCCGACTTCTTTTCCCTTTAATTTCAATGCGTTGAAAATGCTGACACAGCTTTTTCTCAAGTTGGGACAGTCCCAGAGCAATGTCAGAATGGATCCCAGTCTTACTTCTTAAGGTAAAGGCTGTCAGTGGCATCTTTGAAACCTCACCTTCCCTTCTTCGATTGAAAATGATGACCTCACAAAGAGTCAAAACTGCCAGTTTAGACCAATGCTTAGACGTTGGCTTACTTATTAGGGTTTGCACATATTCAGGTCGACATACCTCAATATGTGCATGCATGGCTCTAACGTCCTCAGTCAGAGGGAGCAGGTCCGGAGTGTTCCACTTGGCTTGCCGGAGGGTCTGTAGGGCAGCAGAAGAAACACAGACGTCCCACCTCTTCTCAAAAAGCAGCCGGCTTCGTTGGAGGTTTTTAATAAATAGTTCATCAACACAATGCTCCATTTTTGAGTCACATTCAAGAATATCTGCTTTCTGAGGCTATGGCCGAGTTTGAGGGCCAAGGATGGAGTCTTGTATTGATTTGTTTCCTCATCATATCCAGCCACAGACCTGACTGCATCAATCACATGGTTAAAGTTGGAAGGAATAAAGAAATCCTTCATTGTTTTCAGTTTCCCTGCGGTTTTTGCTTCGTTAATTAACCTACCGACTTCTCTCATTTTCTGCCTAATGTAATCATGCTTAGTCTTATCATGCCCGTGTTTTAAGTACAGGTGCTCTCCGAGTCTCAGAATCCCCTTTTCTGCTTTGACAACACCCGTGACCTCATCCTGATGCATTGCCGAAATTAAAGACCACAGCTTTTTGCTGATGCCCTCCGGTACAGGCTGGGCTAGGGAGCAGAGGGACTGGACCCTACTTCTACCTGGTTTAGCCTGGGCATCTTTCTGTGAAAGCCGGCACCTGGCCACATGCCTCCACAGCGACTTTCGCTTAAGCAATGCCCCACAGTCTATACAGTGCAAAAACTCACTGGATTTAACTGGGCAATTTGGCTGTTTAGCTGGGACTAAAGTTCCAATGCCGGCCTTTAAAACCTCAAAATTGTGCTCACGGTTTCCACTATTCCTGATCAAATCAAACTGAAGTTTACGTGCTTTAGACTTCACAGGTAGAGCCAATGCTCTGGCTACGTCACTTTCATTTCCATGTTTTCTAGTCAAATGACGGGACATTTTGTGGCAGGACATTGAACAGTAGAGGCAGAAGTGTCTCTTGCTGTAAACCCTGCCCCCATTTTTCTTCTTTTGCAGCTGCATGATAACAATCTTATTTGCCTTTGGTTCGTCACTTTCCGAGTCTTGAAGAAAAGTGTTTTTGATTTTTCTTTTTCCATACTTTTTTACAGGTTTCTTCTTGACAGTTAAATCGTCAGAATCTGAGTCGACTTCATCAATTAGGGACTCTTGACTAAGCTGCACAAACAACAAATAATTTGTAATAATTCTATATAACAATTTGAAGTCATGACTTGTAGTCAGCACTTACCAGTGGGTTGTAAGCGTGCGCTTCAGTGTGCTCCTCCATGATGTCTTGCAGCCTAATGAACCACACACTTGCACCTTTTCACCTGACTTCCTCTGTTGTGCTGCTCCATGATTGGCTCCAGCCTCTGTTGTGCTGCTCCATGATTGGCTCCAGCCTGCTGGACTGAAATTGCCCCAGTGTGCCCCTCCTTGATATCCCGCAACCCACCACCAGGGTTCCGACACATAACACACTTTTTTCAGGAAAGTAAACCTCCAGGGGTCCTTTCCATATTTTTACAGAGACTGCATAAGGACCGTTAGAAAAGCATTACCCATTGATTATTAAGCTTGGACCAGTGGGGTCCGGTGTTCGGGCCCCACCACGTAAAACCAGTCCCCATGACGTGAGTGGAATCTCAGGTTATGGAACCCACTAGGAGTTGAAAACAAGTGCACACAGACACACAGACACACACACACACACACACACACACACACACACACACACACACACACACACACACACACACACACACACACACACACCCACACACAGACACACGCACACACACATGTAAATGCCCCCATTGTAGTCTTTTCTTTGTTTCTGTCTAACTGTATTTGTGTGTATCTTTGTGTGTTACAAAACCAGGACCAGTCCAAAAATATTTGAAATGTGAATGTGCTTTTAAATGTACTCTGTCGTGTTGTCTGTTTTTTTCCCTTTAGCTCCGTGTCTTCCTGACAACGTGGTAGCGACACTAGACTGTGACACCAACTCGTTCTCAGTGTCGTGGGATGGAAATCTCCAGGACGGCCCGTTCACGGCGCAGGCGATCGGCAGCGACGGCTCCCGTGTGTCGTGCAGCTCGGCGCTCAACAGCTGCTCCATGAACAGCCTTAAGTGTGGCCTCCAGTACAGCATCGTGGTGACCACTGCGGACGTGGACTGTGGAGAGATCACTGACTCCAACTACAAAGCATACTCAGGTCTGTGGGGTTCACCATAGATGAAGTCCATTAAGAGTTTAGTCTTTTAAAGTGAACATGTATTCAGGAAATCATCAGTGCTTTAAAATATATATATTTTCTGTCTTTGATTTGGACTTAAAGTGACTTTCTGAAATTTTATAAATGTTGCACTGCTTCACTCACGAGGGGGCGACAGTGGCTCAGTTGGTAGAGCATTGGCCTTAGAGCCAGAAGGTCGTGGGTTCTTACGGTGGGTAAGACCTACTTCACGACTCCCACTGATGTCTGCTATCGTTGTGTCCTTGGGCAAGACACTTAACCCCACTTTGCCTGAAGCTCCCACTGAAAGATCTCAGCTCCTGTGGACTCAGCACCTGCAGGAGGATCAGTGAGGGGCTGGTGCTCTGTGTACTGGGTACAGCTCTGACTGCCACCCCCCCGACCCAGAAATGGATTAAGGGGAAGAAAATGGATGGATGGATGGATGCTTCACTCACACAATTTTCAGGAATTCAGGATTCAGTTTATTTTGCCACTTGCAGTAAAACCACATTGGAATACATGTGCAAGAATGTGTGCATCAGTGTGCACCAGACACAGCACCATGTGGACAAATAGTTAAGTACAGCATAGCCTGGTCGTACCACACCATAGTACAAATTTCATTTCGTACTAAGGTCTGGAGGTGCTCCACTGAGCTCCGTGAACAGGTGGGAGGGGTTAACTCCTTTTGCAGATTGAAACCATTGGATCTGAGTTTACTGTGACGAATATAATGCGCCCGAGTCTGTCGTTAGCATTTATCCTAGCTTTAGCCATCTCCTTTGCCGCTAACGGAGCCCGTGGGGAGTAGCGCCACAATTTTTTCCAGCGATTACATTTGCTAAACATTCCTCTTGCTTCGGCTTCAATTTCTTGATAGAACCAGACCAGAATACTTTACTATCGCATTCTTTGCCATTACCAAACTACAACCTTCTCGTTCGACGCAAACTCTTGACGTCACCCACATCTAACTACAACACCCGCCTCCCGCGCTCTCTGATTGGTCGGTCAAAATTCAACCGATTGTATTCGCTAACACAGGGACCAGACCCAGACGCTACATGCAGGAGATGATGATTAAACAGAGAGTACGGATGGATAAGACCAGGCTAAGTACAGCAGAGAGCAGTTACAGGTTGGAAAAGCTTGTTATGTCCGGGCCACACGCTGGATCTTTGTGATTGCTCAGTTTACCAGTGGCATTGCAGGTCACGTCCAATGTACAGTGAAAATTATATCTTACCATAACCCTATTTTTTGGTTCCCTTAGGACTGAAGTGTGAACACGGCTTAAAGGCTTAAAATGAACACAAACACTGTAGAACATTATTGACGCGTTACAGTTCCTGTAAATTCCTAAAACAATAAATGTATGGCTGGGTTGTGATTGTAGTTGTTTGAAGGGATGCAGGGAAAGCAGCAGGTTGAACTGTGTCTCTCCCCTCAGCTCCCTGTAAGCCTGAGGCCATCTCCCTGGACCTGGACTGTCTGACCAACGAAGCTCTGGTGACCTGGGAGGGGACCGGCCCGGATCAGGAGCAGGAAGTGATCGCTCGGGACATTAGAGGAAACACCATTAGCTGCATCTCCAACACCACCCAGTGTGCTTTCACGGGCCTCACCTGTGGCCTCAGCTACAGCATCAGTGTGGTGGGGAGGGCCAACACATGCACCAGCACGCCCACCCACGGACCCATGCTGCACACAGGTGACAGCACACAGGGCTTTGGGACTTCAGAATGCATCAGCAATGTGGAGCACAATTCATTCAATCACAAAAACACATTGAGCCATCAGACACGTTTGATTGGTCTTCTGGCCTAAACATAATCAGAAATATGTACGTTTTAATATGTATATTTTTCCACAAATATGCAATGAATTATTCTCCCTAGTCTATAGGGTTGCACAGCTTCTAGCACTAGGTTGAGATTAGGAGGGCTGGCCTTTGTCGTTTTTCAGCATCATGTGTTTTTAGGGTTCAAAATCTGCCTTTAGGCCTTCAGTGCTGAGTGCTGACCCATGGTAGTTTACAAAAATGAACCGGTGGCATTAATAATAACGCTGATAAATAATAATGCATCCGTCTTAAATAGCACATTTTAAGTCAGTCAAAGACGCTTCACATATCATGATTCTTTCACTCCATACATGTTGGTGATAAACTACTACTTTAGCCACAACTGCCCTGGGGCACACTGACAGAAGCGAGACAACCAGTATATTGTCCCCTCCGATCTCCATCAACCATTCACGCACACAACACACTCATTCTCTGGTGAATTGTATTGCCTATGGACACAGCCGCAGCCGCCCCACTCTGGCACCTGGTGGTCCTGGAGGTCTCAAATGAGCACTAACCAGGCCCTACCCGGGTTAGCTTCAGAGGTCTGTCGGGATCTGGCTTTCCCTTGTAGGTATAACAAACAGAGTATAACAAACAGATTCATTTATTGGTTGATTTGATTTTGTGAAGAAACTTGTTAATGCTCATACTGTTAGTGGAAAACTATGGTTTTAAGAGGTGGATTCAGTCAAGTAGGGCAGCACTTCAGGGGCCGGTTTAAAATGCTCAGCCCGCCTGTCCGAAAAGACTGTCTTAAGATGAGACAGACGCCAACACTACGTACCACTCTCATACCCTGAGTGGAAGTTCTAATAGATCAGTAGAGTGCATTATAGATCCAACATAACTGACCCTCTACCTTCCCTCGCAGCTCCATGTCTGCCCAGTCAAGTGAAGACCACATTCGACTGCGCGACCGGCGTCACCATCGTGACCTGGGATGCGGCCAACGGAGCCACGTCTTACATTGTGGAAGCCCAGGGCAATCTGGGCCACAGCGAGCAGTGCACAGGAGCTGACAGTAACTGTGCCTTTGCCAGTCTGGCCTGTGGGCAGGACTACAACATCACCGTCCAGGCACAGAACAGTGAATGTACCAGTGCGGTCAGCGAGACGGTCCAGTCCGCCACAGGTAACACAAAGCTGCCCACGTGTTCTCAGAACATTCTTTAAACACCAACTTTATGTAAGGATAGAAATTGCATTTACATTTTGTATAAAATTAGTTTTGTTGTACTTCATTTATTTCTAGACATAAAAGTCTTATATTTAGGACAGATCATTGCACCAGTTTTAAGCACTTTTCACATCGTAATAATGTAAAAAGAGCCATTTTTCAGCTTTGACAGTGACCCTAATGACACAGGAGAAAATCGTGTTCATGAATGAACTACAAGTAGTGAACACAGTACATTTTCCCTAATCACAGAAACCTTCCCAATGAAGAAGGGTAAGAATTCCTCACATCTTTCAGCGCAGCATTCTAAAATAGTGGATTTAAAACAGATCTAATTGTTTGGAATATAAGACGTGAATTACATTGTTTGACACCAAATCCGAAAAACACTTCACTTGCTCATCTTTCACTATTTTCAGATAGTTTTCCAGCTGTCTTTTAAAATATGAGTCTTTCTTTCACCCCCTCCCGTCTACACCTGTGACGAGCCTCATGAAGGGTGTTTTCCAAGGGCACAGGTTTGTCTTCAGGACATGGGGCTCTCAGCGGAGTCCAGGAGAGTGGAACATGAGTTTATAAAGGAGTTTGTCAACTCCACCAAGTCCTGAAGCAGACTGCGTAAAAAGAGGACATAAAGATGCCGCTTTACTGGTTTAAGGGCGGTGCCGTAACGCACAAGACCAGCCTGTTTCACTGGATTCTTAATCATACAATGAAAGATAATCGGACAGTGCATTGCCAGTGAAAACACCATGCACAGATTACACGGCATAACTAAATCCAAAGTATGTCCGTGTAACTGAGCGGGTCTGACAACGTGTCGCACCAAGTTAAAACCATCAGTGAGCTCGATCAAATCTCTAGCCAGAGGCTTAGAGAGGCTGTTTTAAATTACCAAATATTAAAACCTGATCATAATTTGTCAATGTGGAGGCAATACCCTCTGAGAAGTCACTGATGAAGTCCACATTATACTTCGGTGGTCTGTAGATCACGCCGCAAAAGTTCAAAGCAACTCATTTCAAAGGTGACAATCCAAGACATCTGACAGGAAAGAGGGACGCGACTTGTTTTTGCCATCAAAGCTGTAATTATTATCATTATCGCATTATTGTCCATTATTGCTTTGATATTTAGCAACTCACTAAATTCATATACCAGCAAAGAGTATGTAATCCCCATAGAAAAGCTTAAAAATACAATGAAACCTGACAAACATACACAGAACCCATAGGCGCAGCAGACACTCATCTTTCAATGAAGAGAAGATCGTGGATAGCTTGAAACACTTCCTCATTCTCCACGTCCTCATTCTCCACTTCCTCATTCTCCACGTCCTCATTCTCCACGTCCTCATTCTCCACTTCCTCATTCTCCACTTCCTCATTCTCCACGTCCTCATTCTCCACGTCCTCATTCTCCACTTCCTCATTCTCCACTTCCTCATTCTCCACGTCCTCATTCTCCACTTCCTCATTCTCCACTTCCTCATTCTCCACTCCCTCATTCTCCACGTCCTCATTCTCCACGTCCTCATTCTCCACTTCCTCATTCTCCACGTCCTCATTCTCCACGTCCTCATTCTCCACGTCCTCATTCTCCACTTCCTCATTCTCCACTTCCTCATTCTCCACTTCCTCATTCTCCACTTCCTCATTCTCCACTTCCTCGTTCTCCACTTCCTCATTCTCCACTTCCTCATTCTCCACTTCCTCATTCTCCACGTCCTCATTCTCCACGTCCTCATTCTCCACTTCCTCATTCTCCACTTCCTCTGTTCCCTGCAGGCCCGTGCCCTCACAGCGGCGTGGGCACCACCTTGGACTGCCTGGCTAACATCGCTGTGGTCTCCTGGAGCCCGGGAAGTGGGATCCTCTACTACAACGCCTCGGCCTCTGGGCTGAACGTGGCCAGCACCGAGAGCTGTGCCACAAACCAGTCGTCCTGTAACATCACCACCATGAGGTGTGGCGAGAGCTACAGCGTCAGCGTCACGGGACAGGGCTACATCTGCACCAGCCCGCCGCCGCCCTGGAAGCGCCTCACCGCCGGTAAATCTCATTTCACATTTAAAAAGTTTGTGTGCAGTGGTTCCAGGTGTCCAAAGTATTGATTGGTATGTAGGGCTTTCTGTATACTTTTATATTTAATTTAGGGCACCGAATGATAACATGAATACAACGTCATGCTATTTGTTAATTGACTCATTCATGGATTCAGAAATTCATTGAGTCATTCATTAAGTAATTAGCTATGAGTTAATTTACATGTATTTAAATCTGAAGGTGTAAATTTGTGAACACAACAGTGGCTTTATTTCTGGAATTAAAACAGCACAAATATCACTTGTTTGTTTTGTAGATTTAATGCAATATTTTCATTATAAATTTGGATTTAAAACATATTATATAAAATGTTAAGAATAACTACAAGATGAAAACGCTGATTATTATTTAACACGGTTGGAATAATAATTGTCTAGAATACAGTGTGAGGAAGTGACAGTTTTACCCTTTGTCTTGCTCCTTGGGGAACAAAAGTTTTATCTAAAGGCTATTCTGTAAATGGTGTTATAGTGAGTCAGCAGATGTGAGATGGAACGTTTATACGACTGGACCGTGGATGGCGTCATGAGCCCTGGTCTGGTGGTTATCCAGTTTCAGACTTGTAGTTATTAAGAGGACTTAATAACTTTCCATTCTGTGCCAGAGGTTCAAGCTGATGCAGAAGTTTAGACGCCCAGTCCTCCATCATCTGTCCTGTCCCCAGCTATAACTTGTTCTCTCTTCTCAAAACTGAGATGTGGAGTTTTTGTGTCTCTTTTGTGGTTCTGGAGGAAGACGCTCTCATCGTAGCAGTGAACAGGGGTTGCTGGTTCATTCTCTCACAGTGATAATCTGCAGAGTGCTGTGTTGAATGCACTTTGCTCCAAGCCCTCGATAAAAAAGTACTGTTTATAATCACGGAGGATCTCCCATTGGACATGCTTCTTTTTGACTCTACATTTTTTTGCTGGAAATATATTGATTTGGCCTGAAATGCTGTTGTAGTAGTTGGAGTGGTAGTAGTCTTTTAAATGTTAAGATTCTGCGCTTTTTTAAACATTTGAAGTTTATCTTGAACGTTATGTGACATCAACTGGTGTTTTGGTGAAGAGTGAAACTACGTTGTGTTTCATCTTGTGCTACTTTAAGAAAGTGAAAACACTTATTTTTCCTTTTGGTCCTATCCAATTACAAATGTGTTCTTATACGGTGTATATTGAATAGTAGTTTTTACATGAATGGACCAGCATATTGGTGCTCAATATTTATATTTTTGTTGCTATGTAGAGAAGATAACTGTGTGTGATACATTACAATTTTAGCCTAACTTTATTTTATGGCTAATTATTGATTAATTCTGCCGTGTATTTGTTTCAGTTTACCAAAAAAATTTAAAATGGGATTATTCTACTGTTTTGTAATGGCACAAGGAGGACAAAGTTGTTTTAATGTTATTGTTTATCTTCTCATATAGTTTTTCTAGCTTAAAGCTCCTCATTGTCTCTGTCTTTCAAACAGCTCCATGTCCACCCACCCTCCTCAGCGTTGACTCCTCCAGCAACTCCAGCGACGTGGTGGTGACCTGGCAGCCTTCAAAGGGAGCGTCCTCTTACCTCGCCGTGGCCCAGAATGAAGCAGGGCGGAGCTGGAGCTGCGAATCCCTGGACACCAAATGTCAGATCAATGACCTACCCTGTGGTCAGACCTTCAGCGTCTACGTGTCCGGCCGCAACGGGGACTGTGTGGGAGGCAGGAGTAACCAGGAGATCATCCAAACAGGTGCCACTGCCAAATACCATGTTCCTCATAAACACAGACTTTCTAAGTCCAGGTGCGTCTCTGGTCTGGCTAGAGACAAAAATAAATAAATAAATAAAATATATAAAATCTAAAAGAAATCCGTAACCATATTCTTACAGTAATATCCTGTAGTGTGTAACGAGATCTCAGTTTATCCTCTGTATGCTGCGCTCCTTCGACACATGGTCCTGGCTCCTCTGGTCTCAGCTCCTCTGGTCTCAATACAGGCTATTGCTTTGAATGGGCACACATTTTGGGTCATGGTAAAAGCCCCATTAGAGCTGTGCATCTTTCACTAACCAATATGGAAACATTGCACATAAAATATACAAAAATGTGATTTATATGACTTTAGTATGATGGTTGTCTGAATATCTCCAGAAAGTGCCACATTTTGCTTATCTTTTATATATGGCAAAAAAAGAGTTTTATGTTGTTAAAGTATTAATAATAATAATAATGCATCGGTTTTATATAGCGCTTGTTTGGACACTCACTCACGTGCAGCTCTGACTGCCACCTCCCACCCAGAAAGGGATTAAGGGGAAGAAACTGGAGGACGTTACATTAATGTATAATAGAATGAATCGTTTGTTTCTCTTGTTTCATGTGTTTATTTGGAGGGTTAGGATTTATCGTCAGGAGGAGCTGTAGTCATATAGTCCTGTTGTACAACACGAACATGTCTTAGTGAAGGGGAGACCAAAGCACCAGAAGGAAACCTGCACAGACACGGGGAGAACATGCAAAATTGACATAAAAAGGTCCTGGGGCTGGAATTGAACCCACATGTTTAATTTGAAATAATAATAAATAAAATATATATATACATGATTTTAATTACATTTGTTGAGACTTTTAGTGATTTTTAAATGGAGCAGAGTTTCATTTAAATATATGGTAATTCTGAAATATGAGGCGCATGAGAGTATAATATCACAAGGACATTAATGTATGTAAAATGTAATAATAACGCTTAGATGGACATATTATACAACGTGAAATTCCAATATAAATATGATGTATGTTATTCTTATGTATGTTTAATGTAATGAAGCATTCCAGAGAGAGATTGATGCTTAAACATGTGTCTTGCTGAACAGGTTGTTACGGTTCTTTCATTTGTCAGTGACCTCCATGTTGTCGTCTCCACAGCTCCCTGCGTGCCCCAAAACATCACCACGAGCCTGAACTGCCCCACAGGCTCCCTCAATGTCAGCTGGGACATTCTGGGGACTATGCCAAGATCTATTGAGTTTTATGTAATAAATAAAACCGGAACGGTGATCTACTGCGTTGACATCGGCTGTCCTCCTGCCATGCGTACATGTATTGTTCCAAACCAACCGTGTGGGCAGAGCTACGACGTGGCGCTGAAATCTGTGGGGGCCACACGTAACAGTTCACGCAGCGCCCCGCATCCCGTCACTACAGGTGAGCTAAGGCTGGGGGAGCTACTTCCAGGACACATGCAACACTCTGAAAACACTGTGGACTGTGAGGTCGACTTTGGAAGATGCCGTTATCAACACGTTCAAACGGTTATTCACAGCAGAAAAGAGAAGTCACTGAGAAACTAAAGAAAAACGTATTTTCTCTCATTTGTCCTCTAGTTTCACTGTGACTGGCCTAAATATATAGTGCACAGTTTCATAAGTTTGGCGACGAAAAGCATGTCCTACTGATACCTTTTTTAATAAAGAAAGTTTCAAACATCTGAAATTTAAATACATTTGCGGGAGAAGTGACAAACTTTTCTCCCAGAATGTTTTTTTAATTTCATTTCCTTTTCTACCCCTTTAGTTTAGTTAGTTGTTGTTTTAAATTCATTTCTGTCACTATTCCAGTATTAGTAAGCTGTTGTCTGTGCTCTCGCTGCAGCGCCGTGCCCCGTGAAGAGCTTCGACACAGTGGTGGACTGCTCCTCTGGGGCGGTGTCTGTGTCCTGGCAGGACGGCGTGGAGGGGGCGCTGTACCAAGTGTCTGCAGAGGGCCCGGACGGGGAGCACGTCTGCAGCAGCTCAGCTGGGGGCTGCGATCTGGATGCTCTGCAGTGCGGCTCAAACTACAGCGTGACCATCACACCGTCCCAGGACGGATGTGTGGGCGCTCGGAGCGCGCCGCAAACTGTCACTACAGGCAAGTCCCTGCAACACGTCTGCATCACCTCTCTTCATCTGCTTCAATATAATAAATAACAAATACCTTTAGATACCTGTCATATAAAGGCCCCTAGGGGTACACGAGGGTGTAACAGGGAGCATGTTAACATGTCGACCACGGTATATCGTCTAAAACTCAAAGCAATCGTTTGGTCAAAACAATTAAACAAATAAAGAAGATCTGATGTTGTTTTAATGTGGCCCCAGACCAAAGGTGGCGTTTACACTTGGGAGGAGGTGAATGTGGGAGAACCACTGTTTCGACACCTGTTTAATATTACAGACATTCTGAATATTAGAACATTGTGACAGTTACTCACCCAGGTAGAAATGCAACTTTTTTGGCCACATTTCAAAGATTTTTAATGATAACACAAGAAAAATCAAAATGATAACAACAGAAACTACCCAGATAAAAAGCCAGTTCTCAGTAGAGTGTACTGTACTTAACATCTAAGGCGTCATTCGTGGATGATGTTGTTTATCCTCTCTGATGGTAAAGCAGCCAATTCTTCTTCTGCCTTTCATGAACTGCATGTTTGACATCTCCACAGAGCAACTAAAACATGTTATCATTTCAAAATAACAACATATTTATTGGATGATAAATGTTTCACTCAACCATCCATCCATTGATTGTCTTCAGCTTTATCTGTTGCCGGGTCATGGGGGCAGCAGTCAGAGCAGAGACACCCACACCCCCAAGTCTGTCCACACACACTTCCTCCAGAACAACCACTAACAAGTAAAAAAAGAAAGTTCTCCCAAATGTAGGCAGGATCTCTGAAATCTCTGGATGGGTATAAATGTTGTGTATTGCTGTACTTTACTAAAAATTATGAAATTATAACAGCTTTGTTTGTTGTAAGGGACAGATTTTTGGGAGGGCGATGGCTTCTGAGTGCATGTTGTTCCAATTTTACCAGAATGAAGTCATGATTTCTTTGGGCATATTTATTTAAGTTTGAAAAGCTAGTAGCTATTTCTGAACCAAAAGCCTGAGTGTTTGTACTGGTCCGCCGCAGTGCCGTGTGTGCCGCAGCTGAATGAAGTGGAGGTGGACTGTCTGACTACCGCCGTGTGGGTGACGGGCGCGCAGTCAGCCGGAGCACAGGATTACCTCATCACAGTCACGGACAGTGTGGGTGGCGTCCAGACGTTCCAGTGCGACTCCATCTTAGAGAACATGTGTTTCCTTCCTCCTCTTGCCTGCAGCCGGGACTTCAGCTTCAGTGTGCAGGCCCGTGACAGCCAGTGCTCCAGCGCATACAGCAATGCCATGGAGGCAGAGACAGGTACGTGTGCTCTCCACTGGTACATCATTAAAAATCAATCAATGTTTTTGGGGATGATTTTTCCAGGTCTTGCATTTGGGGCCATAGAATGTGAAAACATTTATTTGTGTATTTGCCGCAACAGCTTTATCTTAAATGAATGCCAGTTTGTCAAAAGTCCATATACTTCTGAAGTTTACTGACAATGTGAAGCTAATATGACAGACCCATTATACGCAAAGTGAGATGTATCAAGGTTTTATTTTTTGTGATGTGGTATTTGGCTCACATCTTGTAAAAACCTCAATTTTAGGGCGGAATTGTTATTGCTTATATTTAACTACAGTCGAACCTGGACAAAATCACACACACAAAAAGGCATCTTTTTGTGTGTGTGATTTTGTCTTATCAAAGCAGTTGCATAAAGTCACGGAGCATGAAAACTCACGTTAACAAGCACTATGTCCCCCATTGTCAACCCTGGTTTAGTCCTGGTTTAGTCCTGGTTTAGTCCTGGTTTAGTCCTGGTTTAGTCCTGGTTTAGTCCTGGTTTAGTCCTGGTTTAGTCCTGGTGTAGCTCCTGTTTTGGCTGTTTACAGTATGTTTAGTCTGCTCGCTCAGACACTAATGTCCCCGTGACCACTTTCCTGCTCTCTGATTGGTCGCTGCACGAGCGTCCCGAGGAAAGGTTCAGCAATATTTATCTCCTGCGTGCGTCGATTTTCTGCTCCTGCGTCTCTACAGAACAGTTTGAAGCTCAAACACACGTCATCATTGACTTTGCATTGAAAGTCGGCGCAGCATGATCCGGTCTGAACGCACCATAAGGTCCTTTTTTACAAGTAAAGACACACTTTAGTATAGGACAGGACATAGAGAAATGGACGAACTCTAAAATGAGTTTTACCTGTGTATAAGTGTAATGTTTTGTCCTTTGGTGCACCCTGCCCCCCTTCTCTGCCCAGGCCCCTGCTCTCCCGTGGGCATCATCAGTAAAGCGGACTGTAACCAGAATGTCGTCTCCATCTCGTGGGACAGTGTTCCTGGAGCCGTGTCCTACACCGCCACACTGGAGGACTTTGCCGGAAAGACGGACTGCTGCACGTCCAGCAACAACACATGTGACATCAGCGGCCTGCCCTGTGGACACATGTACGTCCTGCTGGTGACGGCGGAGGGCAGGGCCTGCAACAGCTCTGAGAGCAGGGAGATGGCCCGCACAGGTGAGTCATGTTCACGACGACAAACTACAGATGCAGTCATAAGGGTACTTTTATTTAATAATATATATATTTAATATATAAATAATAATATTTAATATAGTTTATAAAAACTTACTTACTTACTATTTAATACAAAACTACTTATTTTATTCCTAGTAAAACCTGAAGTGCCAAGTCATGTGGATCCATTAAGAATCTATGTTATTATCATCATGTTAAATGTCAATATACTAGGAGGAAATAATGATTTATTTAAGGTTTTATTTAGCTCTCTCTTTCTCTCGTCTAACATACTCAGTTTTAAAAGACAAAGGCTTCATCCATGGGAGGTAGAAGTGGCGTCGATGCTCTTCCAGGCTCCAGTAAACCAACATGCCTTCTAACTAGGGCTGCACGATATTGGAAATTAGAGCAATATTCGATATGAGTGTTTAGTATTTCGATAATGATATTATTGCGATATTTTTGTCTCCCACCTAAAATTGCAATCTGCATTGAAACGCAAGAGACAAATAACAAAAAATAAGCACAACATTAATGACATTCAAATGCATATATTTATATACTTTTTTGTTTGTTGTTCTTGTTGTTCTTGTTGAATGTTGATGTGTTTGTTTTGTTGTCTTTATTAAAGGGAGAAAAAAAAATCGTGCATCTTTTCGATATGGATATTGCACATACCAATATTGCAATAACAAAATGTTTTTGATATATTGTGCAGCTCTACTTCCAACCACTCTGACCCCGTGAAGCACTGTTCCAACACTGGGTAAAGAGTCAGAAGTTGGTGCTTGACATTCCCTTCGGAGGGAGTTTGAATAGAATGGCTTTTTAAAGAGTATCGCCTCTTGTCGACTTAAATCAACCGTGGCACTTAGTAAAAAAAAAAAAATCTAATAATAACATTATAAAAGTAATAAAGGTTTTACTCTGCGATACACACAGTATTTGGTACCGGTGCAAAGTTGTTGCTCAAAAGAGGCTGCCGTCTTCCAACTCTCCTGCTTTCTTGCGGCTCTAGCTCCATGCGTGCCTGAGAAACTGGACTACAGTCTAAGCTGCAGCAGTAACGTGGCCTCGCTGTCATGGAACCACAGCCTGGGTGGTCAGCTGTACCGTGTGAGCGCGTTGAGCCAGGACAACTACACCGACCAGTGCTCCAGCCACGAGAACCGCTGCGACCTCAGCCAGCTGCAGTGCGGTCAGACCTACACCGTCAACGTGGCCGCAGAGGACATGGACTGCTCCAGTCGGCCCAGCCAGAGTGTGTCCATCAAGACCAGTACGTATGCTGCACACCACTGACTGACCACTGACAGACCACTGACTGACCACTGACTGAGCACTGACTGAGCACTGACTGACCACTGACTGACCACTGACTGACCACTGACTGACCACTGACTGAGCACTGACTGAGCACTGACTGAGGACTGCACTGACTGAGCACTGACTGACCACTGACTGAGCACTGACTGAGCACTGACTGAGCACTGACTGGGCACTGACTGGGCACTGACTGAGCACTGACTGAGCACTGACTGAGCACTGACTGACCACTGACTGAGCACTGACTGCACTGACTGACCACTGACTGAGCACTGACTGAGCACTGACTGAGCACTGACTGAGCACTGACTGACCACTGACTGACCACTGACTGACCACTGACTGAGCACTGACTGAGCACTGACTGAGGACTGCACTGACTGAGCACTGACTGACCACTGACTGCACTGACTGACCACTGACTGAGCACTGACTGAGCACTGACTGAGCACTGACTGAGCACTGACTGAGCACTGACTGAGCACTGACTGAGCACTGACTGCACTGACTGACCACTGACTGAGCACTGACTGAGCACTGACTGAGCACTGACTGAGCACTGACTGACCACTGACTGAGCACTGACTGAGCACTGACTGCACTGACTGACCACTGACTGACCACTGACTGACCACTGACTGAGCACTGACTGAGCACTGACTGAGCACTGACTGACCACTGACTGAGCACTGACTGCACTGACTGACCACTGACTGAGCACTGACTGAGCACTGACTGAGCACTGACTGAGCACTGACTGAGCACTGACTGAGCACTGACTGAGCACTGACTGAGCACTGACTGAGGACTGACTGAGCACTGACTGAGCACTGACTGACCACTGACTGAGCACTGACTGAGCACTGACTGAGCACTGACTGAGCACTGACTGAGCACAGTTTTCTTTTGGAGATGAGATTAGACTTTATTATCCCACAATGGAGAATTTCAGTAAAATCAAAACAGTTTCCACATACAATCTATTAAAAAGGCAAAACCAAGAGAACAGCCAAACCAGAGGTTGTATGTACCAACGATGAACACCACTTCACTCTATGAGTTGTTTAATAATTATAAAAATACAGATGAGTCTCAGGCCGCATACAGGGCCTCAGCTACAGTCCAGCCGTATGTTTGTATTCCAGCAGGTTCTCAAACATATTCAGTTCATGGTTTTACCACTAAGTAGGCTTTTGGAAAGAAAAAATGGTGAGTTTTTTTAGTTTGTAGATATCCCATAATAAAGAGTGTTGTATTGTCAGTTCCATGCACGCCTCAGGACCTGTCCTCCTCCGTGGACTGTGGAGACAGAAGCTTGATGGTCTCATGGACGGACAGTGCTGGTGCTGACTCCTACATCGCCCGAGTGGAGGACAGTTACGGCCAGAGCACCAGCTGCCAGGCCACAACAGAGGGCCAGTGCAGCCTCAATGGCCTGGGCTGCGGAAACATCTACCACGTTACCCTGGTGGCCTCGGACGGTTACTGCAACAGCCAGCCTACCGATATGGTTGACACTCCATCAGGTACACAACTTTCTATTTTCAAACTTTATAAGCAGTGTAACTGTTAACTCACCAGGCAAAGAGCAGCGGTCACAGTCACAGTGACACCATTTGGGCTCAAACGTCTCATCCCTATTCGAGCCACTGAAAGAGCTCCAGTTAAAGTCAACCCTCACTGATTTAATAATGCTTAGAACACAAACGCGGCACAAACATATTTGTGATGAAGACAAATGTATGTCTTGGTTGTGGCTTTGAGCGGAGGAGCTGAGTCCGGTGCACCTGTAAGAAGCGGCTGATAAGCTGTGAGTGTGTAAACCTGCCTTTGCTCATGCCTAAAGTTTACTGCGCCCCTCAAGATAACACTGTCTTTTCAAATCAAAAGGTTACCGTAACACCCCTGATTTTTTTCTAGAAAAACTAGTATAGAAAAAAATGCTAATTTGAGAAACAAATATAAGCTTCTTTGGGCAGTTTTTCTCTAAGTCAGAACCTTACCATAAAAGGACAGAGACATTGGCTCTAAACTTAGTCTAGAATCTGACTTTTTTTTTTTTTTTTTTTTTAACTTTTTTTTAATAATTTTTCAAAAATAAGTAGACAGTATACCATAGCCAATATACAGAAACATACACAATATAGAATCTGACTTTTGACACTCACATTCTCACAAACTATCTGGGGTTAGCCTATTTTTGGACAGCACTTTGTGCTGTGTTGACTGTTCTCTTGTGCTTTATAGTTAAACTTGACATATTCATATTTTTAAAATTGTCCCGCTATTAAGTCTATCTTTTTTGTATGGGGAGGATGTGGTAATCATATTTTCTGACAACACTGACGTTGGTCCACTTTGCAGCACCGTGCCAGCCTGAGCGGCTCAGTGCAGTGCTGGACTGTGGGCAGAGCTCGGCCCTGGTGTCCTGGTACCCGAGCGACGGGGCCCTTTTCTACATCGTTACGGCCGTGGCCGACTCAGGCCATGTGTCCGTCTGCCGCACTGACGACAGCACCTACTGCAGTCTGGAGCAGCTGGAATGTGGGGACAGCTACTCCATCCAGGTCCTGGCTGTGGGAGAGGCCTGCAACACCACTGCAGACATGAGCGGGGTCTTGGACACCGGTAAGAAACCACTCAATGCACCTCTGTGTAAGGAAAGTCCACTTATGTGATCTCATGAGTCTTTTCTGATGTGTTATCTCGTTTTATTTTGTTATTTCGTTTGGAGTTTCTTTTCAAACTGTGAAGGGAGAGGGAAACATATCCCAGCTTTAACAAAAGAAATACACAGTGTCAGTTATTAGTGGATATTCAGCCACCGAGGTTTGGGCCGTTGTGTCTCATCTTTTGTAAATCCACCTGTCGGCAACCGGCGAGAACACATCCACCAAAGTTCATTTTTCTGCATCACACAGTTGCACAGTGTGTGATAAACTGTTGTAGCCAACAACATTGCTAATGCAATGGCTTAATAACCTTTACTATAACTGAGGTCATACCAACCGTGTCAAGGCGATGGTGGAGCTCTTTCTACAAAATGTTTAACCAACAGTAAACTTCATGGATCACACTTCTTGTTAGATCAGATATTACTTTAAAGATTCAAATTTAATTAACTATTTAATTAACTCTAACTTTGTGTTGATAGTACAAGGCTATAAGCTTCACCTTGAAAGTGAATTAATTATGTATTACTAAATGTCACTTTCTGTGAAACAAAACAAAAACATTTAGTGGATTGAGCCCAGACAAAAATACAATAATCTGTTTTATCAAAAGCATTATGCTAATATGACCCCCAGGGTATGAAGTCACGGACAGAGTTGTACTTCCTTTTAAAACCCCATAATTGTCCCGTAATGATCTAGTCAAATATTTTCTCATGTATCTAGTTTGATTTTTTTCTTGTATTTAAGTGTTTTCTGTTTTTTTTAGTTCATGTATAAAGTTAATTCTACACAAATCATAATACAACAGAAATTATAATTCAGCATTGACTTAAACCTTGAATTCCAAAGTAAAGAAAATGTGCGACAGCAAATGAAGACAAATGTAGTTTGTTATTGAATAAAAAGCCCATGTTGCAGAGTTTGACTTTTCTGATCTGGGTCAGATCCTTGTGTCCCGGAGATCTTGAGCACGGACTACAGCCTCTCCATCGGACAGGTGCTGTGGGCCTCCACGGCCGGGGCAGACTACTACACTGTGGAGGCAGTGACGGACCAGGGCTTAAGGTAAATATAATATATAATAACATGTGAGAGAGTGGTTTCATGTGCGGCAGTTGTGTAGTTCTCATCACTGCAGTTGTGTAGTTGTCATTACTGCAGTTGTGTAGTTGTCATTACTGCAGTTGTGTAGTTCTCATCACTGCAGTTGTGTAGTTCTCATCACTGCAGTTGTGTAGTTCTCATTACTGCAGTTGTGTAGTTGTCATTACTGCAGTTGTGTAGTTGTCATTACTGCAGTTGTGTAGTTCTCATCACTGCAGTTGTGTAGTTCTCATTACTGCAGTTGTGTAGTTCTCATTACTGCAGTTGTGTAGTTCTCATCACTGCAGTTGTGTAGTTCTCATCACTGCAGTTGTGTAGTTGTCATCACTGCAGTTGTGTAGTTGTCATTACTGCAGTTGTGTAGTTCTCATCACTGCAGTTGTGTAGTTCTCATCACTGCAGTTGTGTAGTTGTCATTACTGCAGTTGTGTAGTTCTCATCACTGCAGTTGTGTAGTTCTCATCACTGCAGTTGTGTAGTTGTCATTACTGCAGTTGTGTAGTTCTCATTACTGCAGTTGTGTAGTTGTCATTACTGCAGTTGTGTAGTTCTCTTCACTGCCGTTGTGTAGTTCTCATCACTGCAGTTGTGTAGTTCTCTTCACTGCAGTTGTGTAGTTCTCATCACTGCAGTTGTGTAGTTCTCTTCACTGCAGTTGTGTAGTTCTCATCATTGCAGTTGTGTAGTTCTCATCACTGCAGTTGTGTAGTTCTCATCACTGCAGTTGTGTAGTTCTCATCACTGCAGTTGTGTAGTTGTCATTACTGCAGTTGTGTAGTTGTCATTACTGCAGTTGTGTAGTTGTCATTACTGCAGTTGTGTAGTTGTCATTACTGCAGTTGTGTAGTTCTCATCACTGCAGTTGTGTAGTTCTCATCACTGCAGTTGTGTAGTTCTCATTACTGCAGTTGTGTAGTTGTCATTACTGCAGTTGTGTAGTTGTCATTACTGCAGTTGTGTAGTTCTCATCACTGCAGTTGTGTAGTTCTCATTATTGCAGTTGTGTAGTTCTCATTACTGCAGTTGTGTAGTTCTCATCACTGCAGTTGTGTAGTTCTCATCACTGCAGTTGTGTAGTTGTCATCACTGCAGTTGTGTAGTTGTCATTACTGCAGTTGTGTAGTTCTCATCACTGCAGTTGTGTAGTTCTCATCACTGCAGTTGTGTAGTTGTCATTACTGCAGTTGTGTAGTTCTCATCACTGCAGTTGTGTAGTTCTCATCACTGCAGTTGTGTAGTTGTCATTACTGCAGTTGTGTAGTTCTCATTACTGCAGTTGTGTAGTTGTCATTACTGCAGTTGTGTAGTTCTCTTCACTGCCGTTGTGTAGTTCTCATCACTGCAGTTGTGTAGTTCTCTTCACTGCAGTTGTGTAGTTCTCATCACTGCAGTTGTGTAGTTCTCTTCACTGCAGTTGTGTAGTTCTCATCATTGCAGTTGTGTAGTTCTCATCACTGCAGTTGTGTAGTTCTCATCACTGCAGTTGTGTAGTTCTCATCACTGCAGTTGTGTAGTTCTCATCACTGCAGTTGTGTAGTTCTCATCACTGCAGTTGTGTAGTTCTCATCACTGCAGTTGTGTAGTTCTCATCACTGCAGTTGTGTAGTTGTCATTACTGCAGTTGTGTAGTTCTCATCACTGCAGTTGTGTAGTTCTCATCACTGCAGTTGTGTAGTTGTCATTACTGCAGTTGTGTAGTTCTCATTACTGCAGTTGTGTAGTTGTCATTACTGCAGTTGTGTAGTTGTCATTACTGCAGTTGTGTAGTTGTCATTACTGCAGTTGTGTAGTTGTCATTACTGCAGTTGTGTAGTTCTCATCACTGCAGTTGTGTAGTTCTCATTACTGCAGTTGTGTAGTTCTCATCACTGCAGTTGTGTAGTTCTCATCACTGCAGTTGTGTCGTTCTCATCACTGCAGTTGTGTAGTTCTCATCACTGCAGTTGTGTCGTTCTCATCACTGCAGTTGTGTAGTTCTCATCACTGCAGTTGTGTCGTTCTCATCACTGCAGTTGTGTAGTTCTCATCACTGCAGTTGTGTAGTGTGTCCTCTGTCATCACTTCTATTGTGTGTCCTCATCTGTGTGCGACCTTGGTCTGGGAGATGTGCTATATAAATACAGATCACTGATTCATTGTTTGGATTCAGCGAACATGAGTTGTGTACACGTAAACATTGTGTGTCCTTTATGTCAGACGTACATTTGTCTCTCACGACACACCCCATAAACCACATCACAACATGAAGTCTCTGCATCAGGTCAAAAGCAACGGTTTGATTTCAGTTTTGCCCGATGAGCTGAATGAATAATGCCACAAGAAGCACAGGTCACACAAAATAATTCCAAATGACAATAACTTTGTGTTTCAGGCGCTCACTGTAAAAATGCTTCACAGATCTGTGTTCAAAGATATAAACTGATTTGACTTCTTTGGCGATTTTACAGCCACCTATAAAGTATTTTGCTTTTTGCTTCTCAAAGTTTGTATGAGTGTTTCCTAAATGGCCCCGTGCTCTTTCAGCTCTCAGTGTGAAACCAACGATACGTACTGTGCCCTCTACGACATCCAGTGCAGTCAAACGTACAGGGTCAGCCTCACCGCCCGGAGCCATAGCCAGTGCAGCGAAGGCGTCCAGTCCAACCAGAGCTCCTCCATCACATCAGGTGAGAGACCAGCATTGAAGAAAACTGGCACAGTTGGCACAACTCATCGGGAATGGAACGAACCAAATTGGCTCAGAGCAGGCTTTGGAAAATGTGCCTTATTTTCAGATCCGCAACTTGTCAGTAGGGCTGCGGCAAGGTAATGGACCAATCACAACTCAACCATTATCAAGTAGTTCTCAACTGATTCATTCATTGATTACTCAATGAACCTTAGATTGCCTTAAACAGATTGAAGAAATGTTTTATTATTCAAATAATTCCATAATGACTGCAGAATGAAATCACAATGTGGTTACAAAGTACCGTAATTCTCAGGCTGTTGAACGCGACAGTTATAAGGCACACCAGCAACATTTACGAACAGTAGTTGAACAGTAGTTGGATAGTTACAACAGTTCACGCACAGCTGACAGAGCCAAACACATATTCTCTGTGAGCCGATGCTTTTGAACAGCCCACTCTTTAGCACCAGGTCCTCATAGCGACAGAGAGCTGCTGATGTAGCACACATTCCTGCAGGATACACACAGGGCTTGTCTTTTTGTGAGTTTATGGACTTATTATTTTGATCATCAAGCTTCATGTCTAACATAACGTTCATCTTCTCTTGTGAACCATTTCTCTTGCTTGCACCCAAATGACCCACTTTCCCCTCCACTCCACAGAGCCGTGCCCGCCCCAGGAAGTCCAGGTCAGCGTAAAGTGCCAGACCAACATGGGGGTCATAAGCTGGGAGCCCAGTGTGGGGGCCCGGGCGTACGAGGCCAAGCTCTCAGGACGGAATGGCCAAATACTGCAGTGCTACACAGAGGAGACATTCTGCCACGTGGAAGGGTTGGCGTGCGGCACCGTGTACTATGTCGAGGTCATCGCCGTTGGGGACAGACTGAACAGCTCTGGGTCAGACACGGCCACGCTCCACTCGGGTACGAGCACTGTCAACGCTGCGTGTTCGAGGCTAAATATTTCAATGCAATGTTTCTGATAGACAATTTATATTTCTTTCAAAATTTGCAGTCCAATCCAACTTTGTAGAGCACTATAACTCAGCTGTAGGTCCCTGTCAGCTGGAGACAAGCCATTTTCAAGGGCTAGACACACGGGAGGCGACAAATGAGAGCGATCAGCGAAACTCAACGCTGTCGCTCAGATAACATGACAGACGGGGCGCGATGCGGCTTGACGACAGCGACGAAAAGTTGAGCCGATTTCAACTTTCTGGGATCGCGTCGCTGACCTGCGCGTGCACGATACATGCACGAGCGGGAGGATTTCACACGCACGTTTTTCGCCCGTCGCTGAGCAGGAGGCTCGCTAGCGATTGACGCTATGTCGCGCACGTCCCATTGAAATGAATGGAGGCGATGCGATGTCGCCTCCCGTGTGTCTAGCCCTTTATTCATATTGAGGTTTATACGTTGGAGAACGGCACTGCAAGCATGCACACGGCTAAAGCAACAAATGAATCTGACTACAGTATATGACATTTGCACAATGCATAAATATATACAATTTGCACATAACAAACCTATCCTCTTTTCCATTTCATATATTAAAATATGAATTCAAGCAGATTTTTGGAAAAGATTAAAATGTGCCTAAGTTAACTAAGACAACTTAACCTAACTTAATTAAAGTGATCTTTAAAGTGATGGCCATGCAGATTTCTAGTCTATTAGAAGAGTGTACACTGTTGGATGTTTTTACCTCCTGGTGGAGGCTCCACTTTTGGGTTAGGGGATAAAAAGAACAATTACTGTATTTTTCCTACATTTCTTCATCATCGGAGAAAAATGATAACATATCCATGACAGTGGGTATGGAGCAGACCTGTAGTGGGCAGGGAGCAGACCTGTAGTGGGCAGGGAGCAGACCTGTAGTGGGTAGGGAGCAGACCTGTAGTGGGTAGGGAGCAGACCTGTAGTGGGTAGGGAGCAGACCTGTAGTGGGTAGGGAGCAGACCTGTAGTGGGTAGGGAGCAGACCTGTAGTGGGTATGGAGCAGACCTGTAGTGGGTAGGGAGCAGACCTGTAGTGGGTAGGGAGCAGACCTGTAGTGGGTAGGGAGCAGACCTGTAGTGGGTATGGAGCAGACCTGTAGTGGGTAGGGAGCAGACCTGTAGTGGGTAGGGAGCAGACCTGTAGTGGGTATGGAGCAGACCTGTAGTGGGTAGGGAGCAGACCTGTAGTGGGTAGGGAGCAGACCTGTAGTGGGTATGGAGCAGACCTGTAGTGGGTAGGGAGCAGACCTGTAGTGGGTAGGGAGCAGACCTGTAGTGGGTAGGGAGCAGACCTGTAGTGGGTAGGGAGCAGACCTGTAGTGGGTAGGGAGCAGACCTCTAGTGGGTAGGGAGCAGACCTGTAGTGGGTAGGGAGCAGACCTCTAGTGGGTAGGGAGCAGACCTGTAGTGGGTAGGGAGCAGACCTGTAGTGGGTAGGGAGCAGACCTGTAGAAGTTGAACTGTGCATCTTTGTCCTTCCTTCCAGCTCCATGCCCAGTGGAAAACGTCATGGCAGATCTCGATTGTTACAACAACAGCGCAGCGGTCAGTTGGAGTCCGGCCTCAGGAGCCACTTCCTATGAAATAATCGCTACAGCAGTGAGCGGTCAGCGGGTGTCGTGTGTGGGGAATGAAACTGAGTGTGAGCTGGAGGCTCTGGAGTGTGGAGAGACCTACAGCATCCAGGCCGTGTCCCGCAGCGAGGCGTGCGGGGTGGAGATGGACACTGGGGTCACTGTCCAGACGCGTGAGTATCACATCACATGATACTAACACATTATATATTTAGTAATCATCTCCCGCTGGCACCATATTGCGTGACTTTGTGAATGAGATTTGTGTAAATATCAAACACCAGAATGTTTGATTGAGTCATGTGGACTCATGTCCTGGATGTGCATCCACACAAACACAATGTAGTTGGTCATGTTCCTACGGTCAGGCAGGTCAGTCCTGAGTCCAGCATCAGTGCTCTCATGCACACGGGTGAGCGTGCATGAGAGCGTGCATGAGAGCGTGCATGAGAGCGTGCATGAGAGCGTGCATGAGAGCGTGCATGAGAGCGTGCATGAGAGCGTGCATGAGAGCCCAGCCAAACTAAGCACTGCAGTATTTTTTATACAGTCAATGTGTCAAAAACACTCACTTTTTCAAACCTATGTTGTGCAGGCCCATGTAATCCGCAGCATGTGGCCGTGGACTTGGATTGTGGCGCAGCGACTGCCTCTGTGTTCTGGGAGGACGTGGATGGAGTGGACAAATACAATGCCACAGCTGTGTCCAGTGAAGGGGTCACATCGTACTGCAGCTCTGCCATTTCCCCCTGCCTCTTCTCTGACCTCCAGTGTGGACAGTCCTACACGTTCTATGTAGAAGCCAGCAGCGACCTGTGCTTCAGCGAGCCGAGTGAAACAGCAGAGGCACAAACAGGTGATTCTCAAGGCCCAATATAATGCTGCTAAATATACACTGTATATAGGCTGGGTCTCAATTCTACCCTCCAGAATACTTTTCCTGGGAAATGGCCTATTCCAGATTTAGAAAGTGCAGTGAAGTAACTTCTATAAAAAGATTAAAAACTAAATTCAGATGATTTTGTTCCAGGGCCTTGTCAGCCGAGTGGGCTGGAAGTTCTGGGCTCATGCAACAACAACACAGTGGAGGTGGGCTGGTCCCCCGCATCTGGCGCTGAGTGGTACACGGTGTATGTCTCTGGGGACCTGGGATACACCCTATCTCTGCGCACAGACGACACGGTAACCACAGCAGAGCTGCCGTGCGGACAGATGTACAACTTCAGCGTACGCGCACACGACAGCACCTGCTCCAGTGTCATCAGCAACTTTGTGGAGATGCAAAGAAGTATGTACAACAGGGTGCACTGTCCTTAGGTTAAAAACATGAATGTACAACAGGGTGCACTGTCCTTAGGTTAAAAACATGAATGTACAACAGGGTGCACTGTGCTTAGGTTAAAAACATGAATGTACAACAGGGTGCACTGTGCTTAGGTTAAAAACATGAATGTACAACAGGGTGCACTGTGCTTAGGTTAAAAACATGAATGTACAACAGGGTGCACTGTGCTTAGGTTAAAAACATGAATGTACAACAGGGTGCACTGTGCTTAGGTTAAAAACATGAATGTACAACAGGGTGCACTGTGCTTAGGTTAAAAACATGAATGTGGCATCATTATCGCGTCACAGCAACTGAAAAGTTCCATGTAGACTTTGTTACAGACTTGATGCCAGAGTTTAAAACACAAACAGACAATAAATGAGAACAATTGATTACAGCAAATTCAAATTCAAGATGTTTTTTGCTTTTTTGTAAAAACCTGTTTAACTCGACTTAATAAGAGGCAATTTTGAAAGATGAATGAAGGATGAAGCAAACGCTTATAAAATTCCAAATCTCAGTGACAACAGCCAAACTAAAGCTGGGGTACTTAACTTTCAAACCACAAAATATGGAGATAAGATGTAAGATAAGATGTGCTTTATTTATCTCACTCGGCACGGTGGCTGAGTGGATAGCACTCTCGCCTCTCAGCAAGAAGGTCCTGGGTTCGAATCCCGGTCGGACCAGGACCTTTCTGAGTGGAGTTTGCATGTTCTCCCCGTGTCTGTGTAGGTTTCCTCCGGGTACTCCGGTTTCCCCTACCGCTAAAAATATGTCCAATAGTTCTGGCATGCGCCTCCTGTACTGGCCCCGCTCCCATCTCTGTGTGGAGTGAGAGACAAATGCCCATAATTGATTGACTGCGGAACCTTCCGCAGTCAACCATTGGTTTTGTATTTCTTTATTCCGTCATTTTTTTTGACACGTTTCACAGCTTTCCACATAACAGGATCCACATAACAGGATCCACAGAACAGGATCCACAGAACAGGATCCACATAACAGGATCCGCACATAACAGGATAAGTAAGTAAGTAAGTAATGTTTATTTATATACCGCCTTTCACAGACCAGAGTCTCAAAGCGGTTTACAATTGTTATTTTTGGGCACTTGTCCTCTCACTCCACACAGAGATGGGAGGGGCCAGTACAGGAGGCACATGCCAATCCTATTATACATATTTTTAGTGGTAGGGGAAACCGGAGTAACCGGAGGAAACCTACGCAGACACGGGGAGAACATGCAAACTCCACTCAGAAAGGCCCTGGTCCGGCCGGGATTCGAACCCAGGACCTTCTTGCTGAGAGGCGTGAGTGCTATCCACTCAGCCACCGTGCCGCCCAAAGATCTGCTGGACACGTCAAACTAACAGTTCAGTTTGACGTGTGCAAACTGAACTTCCGGACGAATCCGGCAGACACAGACACCGGTGAGACTCCTGAGGACGGGTGATCAGACAACAGGAAGTAGAACTAAAGGAGGGAACGAAATGACAAAATATAACAGGAAATAAGCTTAAACCATGACAGTTTTCTCAAAGGATTTTACAAAGTTTACCCAGGACTGAGGCTGTAGACCCAGGACTGAGGCTGTAGACCCAGGACTGAGGCTGTAGACCCAGGACTGAGGCTGTAGACCCAGGACTGAGGCTGTAGACCCAGGACTGAGGCTGTAGACCCAGGACTGAGGCTGTAGACCCAGGACTGAGGCCGCAGACCTAGGACTGAGGCTGTAGACCCAGGACCGAAGCTCTATTCCCTTGCATTGAGCCTCTCTCTCTCTCTCTCTCTCTCTCTCTCTCTCTCGTTCCTACGTTCAACAAAACATTCATTATTCTCCAAAAGTTTCAGTCCACTCAGCGCCGTGGTCAGCCTCTGTCCCCAATGCTCAGTGTAGTGTGTCTGTGTGTAGCGTGTCTGTGTGTAGCGTGTCTGTGTGCAGCGTGTTTGTGTGTAGCGTGTCTGTGTGTAGCGTGTCTGTGTGTAGCGTGTCTGTGTGTAGCGTGTCTGTGTGTAGCGTGTCTGTGTGCAGCGTGTTTGTGTGTAGCGTGTGTGTGTGTAGCGTGTCTGTGTGTAGCGTGTTTGTGTGTAGCATGTGTGTGTGTAGCGTGTCTGTGTGTAGCGTGTTTGTGTGTACCGTGTGTGTGTGTAACTTTCCACACACATGATGCACGTGTGTCGCGTCTGACAGCTGCATAATTATCTCATCAACACGTCTCTTCCTCTAACAAGCTCCGTCTCCTTCGCCGCCGCCCATGGAGCGACCGCCGCCGGTGAGAGAGCTGTCGCTGGAGACGAGAAGATTAGAGAGACGTCCAGACCTCAGTCCAGGCCTCAGACCAGACCTCAGTCCAGGCCTCAGACCAGACCTCAGACCAGACCTCAGACCAGACCTCAGTCCAGACCTCAGTCCAGGCCTCAGTCCAGACCTCAGTCCAGGCCTCAGTCCAGACCTCAGTCCAGACCTCAGTCCAGGCCTCAGACCAGACCTCAGTCCAGACCGCAGTCCAGACCTCAGTCCAGGCCTCAGACCAGACCTCAGTCCAGGCCTCAGACCAGACCTCAGACCAGACCTCAGACCAGACCTCAGACCAGACCTCAGACCAGACCTCAGACCAGACCTCAGTCCAGACCTCAGACCAGACCTCAGACCAGACCTCAGACCAGACCTCAGACCAGACCTCAGACCAGACCTCAGACCAGACCTCAGACCAGACCTCAGACCAGACCTCAGACCAGACCTCAGACCAGACCTCAGTCCAGGCCTCAGACCAGACCTCAGTCCAGTCCTCAGACCAGACCTCAGTCCAGGCCTCAGACCAGACCTCAGTCCAGACCTCAGACCAGACCTCAGACCAGACCTCAGACCAGACCTCAGACCAGACCTCAGTCCAGGCCTCAGACCAGACCTCAGTCCAGACCGCAGTCCAGACCTCAGACCAGACCTCAGACCAGACCTCAGTCCAGACCTCAGACCAGACCTCAGTCCAGACCTCAGACCAGACCTCAGACCAGACCTCAGTCCAGACCTCAGTCCAGACCTCAGTCCAGACCTCAGACCAGACCTCAGACCAGACCTCAGTCCAGACCGCAGTCCAGACCTCAGACCAGACCTCAGACCAGACCTCAGTCCAGACCTCAGTCCAGTCCTCAGTCCAGACCTCAGACCAGACCTCAGCCAGACCTCAGTCCAGACCTCAGACCAGACCTCAGTCCAGACCTCAGACCAGACCTCAGTCCAGACCTCAGACCAGACCTCAGACCAGACCTCAGTCCAGACCTCAGTCCAGACCTCAGTCCAGACCTCAGACCAGACCTCAGACCAGACCTCAGTCCAGACCGCAGTCCAGACCTCAGACCAGACCTCAGACCAGACCTCAGTCCAGACCTCAGTCCAGGCCTCAGTCCAGACCTCAGACCAGACCTCAGACCAGACCTCAGTCCAGACCTCAGACCAGACCTCAGACCAGACCTCAGTCCAGACCTCAGACCAGACCTCAGTCCAGACCTCAGTCCAGACCTCAGACCAGACCTCAGACCAGACCTCAGACCAGACCTCAGACCAGACCTCAGACCAGACCTCAGTCCAGACCTCAGACCAGACCTCAGTCCAGACCTCAGTCCAGACCTCAGACCAGACCTCAGACCAGACCTCAGTCCAGACCTCAGTCCAGACCTCAGACCAGACCTCAGACCAGACCTCAGACCAGACCTCAGTCCAGACCTCAGACCAGACCTCAGACCAGACCTCAGACCAGACCTCAGACCAGACCTCAGACCAGACCTCAGACCAGACCTCAGTCCAGACCTCAGACCAGACCTCAGTCCAGACCTCAGACCAGACCTCAGTCCAGACCTCAGACCAGACCTCAGTCCAGACCTCAGACCAGACCTCAGTCCAGACCTCAGTCCAGACCTCAGACCAGACCTCAGACCAGACCTCAGACCAGACCTCAGTCCAGGCCTCAGACCAGACCTCAGTCCAGGCCTCAGACCAGACCTCAGTCCAGACCGCAGTCCAGACCTCAGACCAGACCTCAGACCAGACCTCAGACCAGACCTCAGACCAGACCTCAGACCAGACCTCAGTCCAGGCCTCAGACCAGACCTCAGTCCAGACCGCAGTCCAGACCTCAGACCAGACCTCAGACCAGACCTCAGACCAGACCTCAGTCCAGACCTCAGTCCAGACCGCAGTCCAGACCTCAGACCAGACCTCAGACCAGACCTCAGACCAGACCTCAGACCAGACCTCAGACCAGACCTCAGTCCAGACCTCAGTCCAGGCCTCAGACCAGACCTCAGTCCAGACCTCAGACCAGACCTCAGTCCAGACCTCAGTCCAGACCTCAGACCAGACCTCAGACCAGACCTCAGACCAGACCTCAGACCAGACCTCAGACCAGACCTCAGACCAGACCTCAGACCAGACCTCAGTCCAGGCCTCAGACCAGACCTCAGTCCAGACCGCAGTCCAGACCTCAGACCAGACCTCAGACCAGACCTCAGTCCAGACCTCAGTCCAGACCTCAGACCAGACCTCAGTCCAGACCTCAGTCCAGACCTCAGTCCAGGCCTCAGACCAGACCTCAGTCCAGACCGCAGTCCAGACCTCAGACCAGACCTCAGACCAGACCTCAGTCCAGACCTCAGACCAGACCTCAGACCAGACCTCAGTCCAGACCTCAGACCAGACCTCAGTCCAGACCTCAGTCCAGACCTCAGTCCAGACCTCAGTCCAGACCTCAGACCAGACCTCAGACCAGACCTCAGACCAGACCTCAGACCAGACCTCAGACCAGACCTCAGTCCAGACCTCAGTCCAGACCTCAGTCCAGACCTCAGTCCAGACCTCAGACCAGACCTCAGACCAGACCTCAGACCAGACCTCAGACCAGACCTCAGACCAGACCTCAGTCCAGACCTCAGACCAGACCTCAGACCAGACCTCAGACCAG